ACATCCTGAATTAGTGTGGTACATTCCTACTTTTTTATGAATTGAACCCAGTCTAAGCAGCAACAGTCCTCCCCAAAATATGCCCAGGGGATGTGGTGGTACCCAGATAAAGCAGAGGACAGGCCTGGCAGATACAGGTGCCTGGTGGACATACAAACAGAGGGAGGGTTGGAGCAATGGAAGAATGGAAGAGCAGCAGAGACAATGTGAGAGTTAACTGAGCTTGTTTATGAGTGTGTGCAAAACATCACTAAGACCTCCAAGAAATACTGATCAAGAACTTTTCAGGGATCAGGAGTCCTGAATTAGCAGGTGGGAATAAGAGCAAGAGAAATATGGGTTGCGGAGAAGCATAGCAGTGAAGGAATACATGCTCCAGAATCACACTGACTAGGTTCCAATCCTGGCTTTACCACTTAACTAGCTGTGTGATGCTGGCCAACCACTGTATGTTTCAGTTTCTGCTTCTGTAAAATAGAAGACATTATAGTTTCTACCTTATGCAGTTGTTATGACAATTATACGAGCTTGAAACATGTAAAGAAAGCACTTAAAGTATTTTGTGTGCACCGGATAAACATTCAGTAAATAGTACGGTACCTATCCCATGGGGTTGCCATGGAAATTAAAAATGATGATACAGGTAAGGCACTCTTTTAGAAGAGACATACTCAATAAATGTCAGCTATTACTGTGTGATGTAAATTAAATTTTAAATGGTGTCAGTATATATACTGGGAGACTGTCCAAAGGAGAAAGAATTACAAAATTTTTATTTGGCAGTATAAAAACCAAACTAACTGCAGTTATTTATGTAAATTGCTTACCACTTATGTCTAATTACTATGAAGCACAATCACAATTATACATAACATGAAGTGTGTCAGACTGACTTTGCTAGAACTTTTGATGATAATACCAACCTCTGTGTACGTATGCTTAGTGTTCCCTGTCTGTTCCTCCTGCGGTATGATCATCTGCTAATGTAGCACGGTCGTCTGCTCACAATGTTAGAAAATTAGTGGGAGCACTGGCTTGCCAGACTTCCTTCTCACACCCTTCCCCAGATCTTTTTCAGTCCTTATTATCCTACAATTTTCTGTTCATTCTGATGATCCTTCCATCCTTTTTTCAAAACCCTTTAGTTCAATCCATTCTTAAAGAGCGCTTACTCTGTTCAAGGTATTGTAGTGGGAGCTGGAAGATGATACAAGGATAACTAAGGCAATCCCTACTTAGAGTCAAGTAGTAGGGAATAAAAGGAAACCTTACTACAAGGTGGAAGAAAGTTGCTGTGAGTCTTCAAGAAGTGCTGGCTTTTGAACTAGATACTTAAGTAAAATTTTTATACGGAATTGACTATTCTGGACATTTTGTATAAATAGAATCATACATCTTATGAAGTAGAGAAAGATGGGGGAGTTGTCATTTTAAATAGGATGACCAAGGAAAGCTTTAGGGAGAATGACACATTGGATTTAAAGGATGAATGCAGGTAAAGGAACAAACTATGTGGCTATCTGAGTAAAAAGCATTCCGGGCAGAAAGAACAGCAAGTGCAATGGTGCAGAGACTGGAGAGTGCCTGGTGTGTTGGAGGAACAACAAGGAGACCAGCGTGGCTGGAGCAGAGTAAGTAAGGGGAGAGTAGTACGAGATTAGGCATTAACGGGGGCCAGATCGTATAGGATTTTATAAACCATGATAAGGGTTTGGCTTCTGCTCTATGTGAAATAGGAAATCATTAGAGGATTTTGAGGAGAAAGTAGCAAAATTTGATGTACATTTTATTTTTTAAAAGATTTATTTATTTGAGAGAGGGTGGAGGGTGGGGTGGAGAGAGAATCTTCAAGCAGACTCCCCACAGTGTGGAGCCTAACATGGGGCTCGGTCTCATGACCCATGAGATCATGACCGGAGTTGAAAGCAAGAGTTGGATGTTCAACCGACTGAGGCACCCAGGTGCCCCTGATCTATATTTTAAAGGGACTGATCTTTAAATGGACCAATCATTTTGAGAATAATATATGGGAGAATAAGGGTGGAAGCGAGGAGCTCAGTCAGTAGGCTTTAACAATAATCCAGGCAATGGGGTGCCTGGCTGGCTCAATTGGTAGAGCATGCGACTTTTGATCTCGGGATTGTGAGTTCAAGCCCCACACTGGGTGTAGAGATTGCTTAAAAGTAAAATCTTAAAAACAAAACAATTATCCAGGCAAGAGACAATGATAGCTTGGACCCAGTGATAGCAGTGACAGCGCTGAGAACCGATTAGAGTCTGAATATAATTTGAGCCGGAGTTGGCAGGATTTGATGACAGAATGAATATGGAATGTGAGAGAAAGAAAGGAGTCAAGGGTGATTCCAAGATTGTTGTCTGACAACTAGAAGCAGGAACTGTCCTTTACCTAAGTGGGGAAGACTACAGAAGGAGGTTTGGGATGGTGGCAGCAAAGATCAGGAGTTAAGTTTTGGATGTATTAAGTTTGAGATGCCCATCAAACACTGTAGTGGAGATGTCAAGAATATAGTTGGATATGCAAGTCTGGAGTTCAAGAAAAGGTCTGAGAATTGTTGGGAGGGTAAGGCACAAGCCTTTTGAATGATACTCAGTCTGTGTAGTATCTTCAGCAACTGTCCATATGGGGAATGGGAAGCTTGTACTTTGTCTAGGAGCATGCTGATTGTACCATGTTCTATAGAGCTGCCTCCACTTGGTAAACATATTTTATATCTTCTACTGTTTATTAGCATTTTGCCTCCAATCACATAATTGTCCCTAGGTAATACCCATACAAACACATAAATTCCTTTCTCTCTGGCTCTCTTTATACTTTCTAACATCACACACTGACTATGTTTTCTATAACCCCTATTATATTTTACTCCCCAATAAAAAATCTTGCCATTGTCTCATTAATTAAGAACAAGATCTTCCTCCTTTGGTATTCACAAGGACACACAGTCTTTTTTTTTTTTTAATTGAGATATAGTCAACATATAACATTAGTTTCAAGTATACAACAGAATGATTTGATATATGAACATACTGCAAAATGATCATTACAATAAGTCTAGTTAATACTAGTCTTTTCTTAATACTGGATGGTCTGGATATGAGGAAGCTAGCCATAATGGTTTGAATATGCCTGCAAATAACTCCGGGGTTAACAAACATTAATTAATGGAAATGTCCACACAAGGCCTAGATAGTCTTGTCCCATGGCAGGTGTTCAATTAAATCTAATTGATTAACATTTTGGCTCAGCTAGCATATCATACAAACCTTTACATATTGTAGGGTCTTGAGAAAAGAGTCCTCTATTACCTCCCCCCACCCCGCTCCCCTCCGCCCGTGGTTCCCTGTGATTCCAACTTAGTATCCTCTCACAGTGTGTCTCTTCACCCAGGCTCATGGCAAAGCTTTCTCTTTTGTCCACCACTTGATTTTTGTTTTGTTGCTGTTTTCTTTCCTGATACTGTCTATCCTCTGAATGGGAACTAGCCTCCGTCTGGCCTGGAAATGTCCAAAAGTCTTTGCAAATTATGCCTAACATAAAGATTGCCTCTGTGAGCCAGAGCAAGACTCTCTGGCGTTACCCCATTATAGCCACACACATCCCCTATCCCTAGCCCCTGGCAACCATTAATCTATTCTCCAGCTCTATAATTACGTATTTCACAATTGTTACATAAATGAAATCATGAAGTATGTATCTTTTTTTTTTTTTTTTGAGAGACAGAGAGAGATAGAGCATGAGTGGGGGTGAGGAAGAGAGAATTCTAAGCAGGCTCCATGCCCAGTGGGGAGCCTGACACTGGGCTGGATCTCACAAACTTGAGATCATGACCTGGGCAGAAATTGAGTCCGAGTCTGATGCTTAACCAACAGAGCCACTCAGGTGCCCCAAAGTATGTATCCTTTTGAGATTGGCTTTGATCACTTTGTATAATGTCCTTGAGTTTCATCCACGTTATTGAATGTATCAATTAGTTCATTCCTTTTTACCACTGAGTAATGCTCTGTGGCATGGATGTACCACAGTTATTTTATCCACTTACCCTTCGAAAGGTATTTGAGTAGTTTCCAATTTTGGGGTGTTATGAATAAACTGTTATAAGCATCCATGTACAAGTTCCTGAGTAAAGATAAATCTTCATTTCTCTGGGATAAATGCCCAAGAGTGGAACTGCTAAGTTGAATGGCAAGTCCATTTATTTCAGTTTTGAAAGAAATGGCCAAACTATTTTCCAAAGTCAGATTATTTATTTTTGGAATTTAATTATGACTAAGGTCCTAGAAAGACACTCTACTATTTACCTCTTTCTGATTAGAGAACTATTGAGTCCTATGGAGTCCGATGGATTTGGATTCAATCCTGCTTCAATCACTTATTATCTAGGTGAGCCTGAACAATATATTTACCTTTTTGAGTCTCAGATTCCTTATTTAAAAAATAGGGATAATAGGGTGCCTGGGTGGCTCAGTTGGTTAAGTGACTGCCTTCAGCTCAGGTCATGATCCTGGAGTCCCGGGATCGAGTCCCACATCGGGCTCCCTGCTGAGCAGGGAGTCGGCTTCTCCCTCTGACCCTCCCCCCTCTCATGCTCTATCTCATTTTCTCTCTCAAATAAATAAATAAAATATTTTTAAGAAATAAAAAATAGGGATAATAATGGCCAAGAGAGTAAGAATTTAACAAGATCAACATGTAAAATACTCAGTAGAGTGTCGGTACACAGTAGTGAGTTAATGCTCTCTCTTCCCACTCCATGGCAAAATAATAATCAAATATTACTCCCAACATTTTCGGTATTTGAAATTTTAAAAATCAAAAGAAAGCATAATGTTAGCTCCTTTTTTTTTTTTTAAGTAGGCTCCACGCCCATCATGGAGCCCAACGTGGGGACTGAATCATGCTGCTGAGATCAAGAGTCAGGCATTTAACTGACTGAGCCACCCAGGCGCCCTAATGTTAGCTCCTTTTGTACATATGCTACTAGATAAATTATCTTTAATAGATTTCTTATGCATAATTTTTCGTTGGCAAAACCATTTTCATCTCTTCCTATCAATTATGTTTGCTGAGGTAATGCTTATAATGCTTGGCAACAGAAATGAGTTGGTCTATCTCCATTATGCTCTATGGTTTTTCTCTCTTCTAGGTCAGTGAACAATTTCCTGATGACTGGTCCAAAGGTAAGAAAAAATGTCCTTTGACTTATTTGGATTTCACTAATCTTAGCCTCTTGACTGAAGACTATACATGTCAATTTCTTTTCATTATGTCCACATTTTTTATTAGCTGTGTATATTAAGGAAGGAAAAACCGTGGCACAGAGAAGGTTAGGGACACACCCAAAAGAACACAGCAAACTAGTGTCAGGGCAAAGGCAAGAACTCAGGAGTATTGATTCTGAATTTATGGCCAGAAGTTCCAGAGCCACAAAAGTCAACAGCCTTTCCCAGGTGCCAGGCTGCAGCCACACATCCTTCTCAGTGCAGTGGTAGGACACAGTTCTCCATCTTTAAAATGCTGACATTGTACTCCATGATCTCTAAGGACAGTTCCAGCCCCTAAATGTTCTTTTCTAAGACAGTAATAGGATGAGAACAGCTGAAAATCCATGAATTATGTATTTTGGGCTCCCTCTGGAGAGGCAGAATAGTATTGTGAAGAAAGGCTAGTGAGGTCTAGAGTCTGGCAACACTGAATTTCATTCCTACTGTTACCATTGGCTAGCTGTGGGGCCTTAAGTAAACTGCTTTACTTCACCTCTCTGAGCCCCAGGTTCCTAATCTATAAAAATGGTACCTATTTCACAAGGTTATTTGTGATGTTAAATGGAACAGCATATTTAAAGTGCTTACTCTGTCACTACTTTCGAAGGAGGGGTGAGTGGGCAGGAAAAGAGATGCATAGCCAACTTAAGGGCAAATGCCTCCCAAGTTCAGAGGGGAGTCTGAACTTTGACCCCTGTGTTTCTGTAGGCTTACCTGATCTATTCCAGCAGTGTGGCAGCTGGTGCCCAGAGTGGTATTGAAGAATGCAAGTATCAGTTTGCCTGGGACCGATGGAACTGCCCTGAGAGAGCCCTGCAGCTGTCCAGCCATGGTGGCCTTCGCAGTGGTAAGGAAAGCCTTGGCCACAGCTCCCTGGACCCCCTGGCCACAGGTTAGAGCCCCACTCTTCAGGGATGGCCCCCTGCTGCTTCTACATCCCCATCTTAGTCCTCACCTGGTCTCTGCTCTCAGGTGATCTTGTCTCTGGGATCTTCTCTGTCCCTTCTCCATCTCCTCCTTCTTACTTATAAAGCTTTTTTTCTTTCTTCCCAACACCCTCACCGCTCAATGAACGGACCTTGTCTCACCCCTAATCCTATAATATCCTTTGCCTCCCAGTTGGCTAAGGCCTTCCTCACAACATAAAGAGCATCAGGAGGTAGGTAGGAGTATTAATTCTTCATGCCTCTTAGCCCCTTCCTTCAGCAGCTCAGCAGAGAGGTACAGGACAAGTGGGGACTGACTTGGACACCAGATTCCCAAGGAGAAGAAAAAGAGTGGCCGTGCCAGTAAATGAAATAGCTGCCAATCAAAGGTGCTCTTCAGGATTTGCTGGCCCGTGCCTCTTAGACTTCAGTATTTCAGGAAGAGAAAGGCTTGGGTTCTTTAAAATCTGGCCTTCAGATTCATCTCCCTCCCCATTTCTCCTCTGGCTCTTTGCCACCTAAATCCTTTAGAACCATGTATGTCAACAGTAATCTAGCCACCTAGTCATAATGTGTGACCTGAAAAGATGGGAGGGGAGAAGTGTAGCGCTGAGACCGAGACTGGAGCAGACCATGGAAGAGAGTAAGGTGCATTATAAAGATGGGGAAACAGGATGGAGCTGGGGGTGGAGGGTGCAATGATGGCGTTCAAGGAAGACAGCGTGACTGGTACTCTGAGGCGCAACCCCTGCCTCTGACGCACCCATTTTTGGTTCCTGCCTGCCAGCTAATCGGGAGACAGCATTTGTACATGCCATCAGTTCTGCTGGGGTCATGTACACTCTGACTAGGAACTGCAGCCTTGGCGACTTTGACAACTGCGGCTGTGACGACTCCCGCAATGGGCAGCTGGGTGAGTAGAGGTGTGGTGGGTGGCCAGGGCAGGCTGGCAAAGTTAACTACGAATGAAAAGTTCCATGGGGTGAAGAAGAGTTGTGTTCTTCTAAATCTGGGGAAAATCAGGGCCGCCCAGTTTAAGCCAAAACCCTAGAGTGACAAACCAGGCTCAATGTAGTTTGGCGCCCTCCTTCTCTAAGTGAGGGGTTTCTTTAAACACAATAAAGGAACAACACTCCCTATGGATTCAATCCTGCCACTCTCTCAGAATAGGGGGAACATCATTCCATATTGCTTGTCCCTGTTTCCTTCCTGCTGTCCTCCTCTTGAATCCTCTCTGCCTTCCAGCTCAACTTCCAACTTGGTTGGTCCATATTATTTCTACTGCACCTCTCTCCCGCCTCTCAATGCTGCCGATTTCCTCTCCTTTTCCGGGCCATTTTGTGGATGTCAATCACTCACCAGGCACGGACACACTCTGCCCAAAGACCAGCAACAGCGTGTAGAGGGCCAAGCCGCCAGGATCTTGCAGAGAATCCACTCTGCAACTCCTTAGGTCATGGAGTCCCGAGCAGGGGACTGGCTGAGGCTGGAAGTGGAAGCGCAAACAGGGCCTAAACAAATCTCGGCGGAAACTGATCTGGAGACAGAGCACTTGCCCAACCCCAAACCCAATCAGAAACAGTAGTCCAGGAGCTCAAGCCCGCCTGCTCAACGACCTTTTCTCCCCTTGTACTCTTCCAGGGGGCCAGGGCTGGCTGTGGGGAGGCTGCAGTGACAACGTGGGCTTCGGAGAGGCAATATCCAAGCAGTTCGTCGATGCCCTAGAGACAGGACAGGATGCCCGGGCAGCCATGAACCTGCACAACAACGAAGCTGGCCGCAAGGTGAGTCCTGCAGCGCCTGGGGTGAGGCAGCTGGCTCCATCCACCAGCCCTAGTGCGGACTGCTCTTCAGTTCATTTAGCAGACTGGAAAAGCGAGGGACCAAACCGGCCAGCCATGTGGACTAGCTAGAGGCCTCACAAGCCCCCCAGCGGCCGACTCCCCACCTCCTAATCCCTGGCCAGCTCACTCCCAGCTCTCTCCCCAGGCGGTGAAGGGCACCATGAAACGCACGTGTAAGTGCCACGGTGTGTCAGGCAGCTGCACCACGCAGACCTGCTGGCTGCAGCTGCCTGAGTTCCGCGAGGTGGGCGCGCACCTGAAGGAGAAGTACCACGCGGCTCTCAAGGTGGACCTGCTGCAGGGGGCTGGCAACAGTGCTGCGGGCCGAGGCGCCATCGCCGACACCTTCCGCTCCATCTCCACGCGGGAGCTGGTGCACTTGGAGGACTCCCCGGACTACTGCCTGGAGAACAAAACGCTAGGACTGCTGGGTACCGAAGGCCGAGAGTGCCTGCGGCGCGGGCGGGCCCTGGGCCGCTGGGAGCGCCGCAGCTGCCGCCGGCTCTGCGGGGACTGCGGGCTGGCGGTGGAGGAGCGCCGCGCCGAGACCGTGTCCAGCTGCAACTGCAAGTTCCACTGGTGCTGCGCCGTCCGCTGCGAGCAGTGCCGCCGGCGGGTTACCAAGTACTTCTGCAGCCGCGCCGAGCGGCCGCGGGGGGGCGCGGCGCACAAAGCCGGGAGAAAACCCTGAGGGGCTCCTCCCCCCCTTCGTTTCCCCATTTGTCCTAGGCTTCTTTTAGAGATCCCAGTAATAGAGGAACCTAGGGAATGCCCCCCCACCCCCACCCCGGCCCGGCCCGCATTCCCCTGCCCAGGGATCCCAAGAGGGAGAGACGCCGCCATCTCTCCAGAGCTTGCCACTTTCCAACCCTTTCCCCCGATTCCTCTGCGCTCTCCTCGAACTCCGTCTGCATCATCCTCACCGGCCACACTTAGGGCTGAGAACTCCCAGTCCTGAGATTTTGAGCTATTGATCTTCCCTGGACTAGGATGAGAATAGGCGTTCCTCCCTCCCCTTCCTAGCTGCCCTAACGCCTGACTTGGCCTATGGAGCCTGTGGAAGAACACTTCTCGGATATGCAGGGCCAGGGTAAAGCCATGCTTTTCTCTTTTTTCCATTTTCTTGCACCCCTCCCCCCATTTTTCTGCTGCCAGGTCTCTACCATAGCCACGTCTTTTTTTTTCTACAGAGTTCCTTCCGTGCTCCTGATTCCCTGCTAACTGTTGGCAGACACCCCAGCAATCTCTAATGCTTTCTCTCGTTCCCTTTCCCTGAAGAAAACTGTGACAAAACTGACCGCGGGAAAAGCATGTCTTTGGGGCTTGTTTCCTAGAGGCAGGCCCTGAAGATGGAAGAAGTGGGAACCCTAGCGGGCTGACTCGCTGGAAACCAAGGATGCTACTCATCCTCGTGATACCATGTCTCCAGCGGACTTCACCAGGCAGGCAGTGACCTAGTGACCTTCCTAGACAATCACCCGAGGTGCTCCAGGCATACCCATAATGTCTAGGAACTATGTAAGGGCAGATTACCAGTCATTTCCTACCCCTTAAACTTCTCCCTGCTCCTAACCTATTTCTTCCTCGCAACCAAATTTACCTCTTCTCCTTCCCCAAAGGATCCTTGTTTCTCTGAGCCAAGACTGAGCTAAATAAAGCCCATTTCCCATTCAGACCCCAGTTTGAGGAAGGAGAAGCTGGGACCTTTCCTTTTTTGCAAACCTGGATCTCAAACAGGCAGGATTCAGGGCACTGGATACTTGCCTTCAATAGGTAAACTTCCTGCAACGAAACTTTCCATTTGGAAGCTCAGCACCTTGAACTTTAATTTATTGCAGTCACTGTGATATGTGCCTTCTTTTCTAGCTATTGAACTTATTCTTGGGGACATTGGGGAGGGTGGGTGGAAGATATAACATCTAGGCCCTCTCTTCCCTCCCCCCTTGCCAGAACACTATCCTCCCTTAAGCCTCACTTCCACGATGGCCTAAGTAGTTATGCTGGCCTGACTGAGGCTAATCTGCCAACAATTAGTGAATCATCCACATAAATCTTCCCTCAATAAATACATTCACTCAGTAGCTAAGAGCTCACTGCTTGTGTACTTGAGACAGAAGCAGTACAGCAGGGACTTGCTTCTGAAAGAGGGCTCTGGAAAGGGAAGAGTCAATCCCTGACAGACTGTCTGTAACCCAGGGAGCTTCCCAGCCATCTCCCTTCTCCCAAGCTGGTCATGGGTCTGGACACGGGACAGCTCTTTAGGAGAACTGGTCAGATGCTGGACCATCTCATCCTACCTCCCAGAGTAGGAGAGAGCACAGAGATGTGGCTCCAAGTAGGTAACAGGGGCTGAGGCTTTAGAGGCCAACCCAGGAGAGTGAAAAAGACTCCTTTTATATGCCAAATTGGGACAGTGGCCAGGTCAGACTCTAAACCCCTAGCCTCATCCCTATACATCCTCTGGTCAACTAACACTTACTGAGGGGAGAGGCTATGTACCCTTCCTCACTGGGGACACACTTCCCTTCACGGTCTCCTAGTGACCTAGTGACCTTCCTAGACAATCCTAGCGCTTCATTTCCAGCTCTATCAGCAAAAGGCCTTTTTTGCTCCTTCCCTCAGCCTTGATCTGGGCCTCGTGAATCTCCCCACTTGTCCTTCCCTAATCAAGTAGCAGCATATATTAACCTGGCTGTCCCACTTGGCAGAATTACTTGATAGTGTGCAGTAAGAAAACCTGGCAAGGCAGCTAGAAAATATAAAACTACAGGGTTGTAAAGGAAAACTGCATTCTCCAGGAGGTCTCGTAGCATAAAAGTAGGAGAATTATTGTGCTTCATATTTGGTAATTCCAGGTCAGTACTTGAAACCAGTCATGCTGCCAGAAAGTTCTTTCATAGGTTGTTGTTTTGTATTCCCAAATGGATATAATTGATACCAGATTCATCTGAGTTCTATAAAGAAAACATTATTGAGCTACCTTAGATCTGTATTGCTTTTTTTCCTCTCTTGCATTATCCATTCATTCATCTGGTCATTCAGCCAACACTGGAGCGCAAATACAGTGGTGAACAACACAGCAACCTCCTTGCATTCATGGAGTTTAGGTTCTCTCTTACACTCAATCACCAGGGCTGTGTTCCCCTTTGCAAATATGGACAACTCCAGAACAGGCTTGGGAAGACACCTTGGAGGTCAGCTAGTCAAACCTTTTGTTTTACAGATTAAAACTGATACTGGAAAAGATGTCTGTCTTGTTCAGGCAACTAGTAAGTTACCATGGGGTACATACTGGAACCCTGGTCCCTTCCCTCCTCTTGTGTACTCTTTAAGGCCCATCTGTCTCCACCAGAGAGAAGCAGAGGGAGATTCTGCGAAGTGACAAGGACACTGGGTGGGGGGAGGTGGGGCGCAAAACACTGTCTCCTTCCTGTCCCTGGCCTGTGAGCCTACACACAGGCAGGGCTTTCTTTTCTTGAAAAGAATCCCAGCCTCAACTGGCCTTAGCAGCAGGTTAGGGCAAAGACAGAGCCAGGGTCGTGCTCAGCCCTGGTGGTGCTGGTGATGGTGGGAGGGGAGGGCAGGCCAGGGCACCCGCCTATTGTGGGTCTGGATTGGATGCTTCCACTCATTCATTTCCTTTTAATTAACCCGCATTCCTGGAGGAGAAATATTTATGTTGGCTCCCATAGAGGCAATCCGCAGACTGGAAAGAAGGGGGAAGAAAGCCTGTCTTAGCAAAACAATATCTCTAAAGAGCTCAAGAAGAGAAAATAAGAGAACAAAATGCCATTAAAATAGCCTTCTACCCCCACTGGAGTCAATGAAAACTTCATTTCACATGCTAATCCCCCACTCCGCCCATTCTCTTCTCACAACACCTTTCCCGAAAGTGTTTGGGAAAAGTCTTCGCAGTCAGTACACAGCTCCCTGCAGCTCAGACTTCTCCTTGTGTTAGTTCAGGGCCCCAAGTGGGGCTCTCACTCCAGCAGCGGCTTTTTTCTCCCCCCCTTTAATTTAAACAAAGACTTCGGAGTTCATCAACCTCCCACTGAAATTCACAGCTGCTGAACAAACTAATCCCCTCTCCCTGCCTTTCTTCCCTTCAATGGGCTCTTGGCTTCAAAGACACTTTGGGAAAGGACTTTGCTGGGGCTCACACTGCTTCATCAATAGAAGTTAGTGCAAGTATTATCTGAAGAGCAAGTGGCTTTACAAACAAATACTGCCTAACAATCCCTTCCTCCCAAACACACACATCTAGCCCACAGACATGATGGGATCTACAACAGGATTAGAGATCGTACCCCCGGCTTCACACCCAGCCCCTTTGTGCAGCTGAGCTCGGCCCTGAAGTGGTGTGAGGAAAACCCTAGAGCTGAACGTCAGGCACGGACGGAGACATACACACACACACGCACACACACACAGACACACACACACAGCAGAGTGGCCACAGATGCTGCAAGGCTTTCTCCTTGCACCTTCCTTTCTTCAACTCTCGAGACTCCTCATGTGTCCTGCCTCACTGGGGCACAGGGAGCAAGAACAAAGAGTCTAGGAAGAGAGGTAAGGGCAAAATAGGACCCAGAGGAGACAGTAATTGGGAGATGACTGAGAAAACCAAATCAAAGCAGCTTTATTGCCCATTACGTACATCAGTGCTTCAAATGCAAAGTTCAACCATGAAAAGTGCAGCCAAAGAAGGCAGCCCTGAGACATGTAGGGGCTGAGGAGAAGGGCCTCCAACCCTTGAGGAGCAGGGCTAGAAAAGTCTTTTGTTAATACGGCTCCTATTCCAGAACTGGGCTGATGATCACAGAATGAATGGTCGAGGGCCATGTGCCAGGGGCCCGACAGTTCAAGTCAGGACCATTCCCTGCAGGCAGTGGTCCCTCTCCTCCTGTTTCCCAGCCTAGGACAGCTCCCAGCAAAAGGCAGTGCACCTCTTCTATTTTCCGCCTAGCCGAGCCCACCCTTATAATACTGGCAGATGAATAGCTCCTTGTAAAAAGGGCCAAAGTTCCTCCTTTTGGTTCTGCTCAGCACCCACCCCTCATGTCCATGACTTGTTCAAAAGATGAACAACAGTCAACTCTACCCCAGCCTCCAGGGCTCAGAGAAAAAAGGACCTGGAAATACGAAGTCAGAGGCAAGGAGAAGGTAATGTCCGGCTCATCACCCACGGAAGGGGAAAAACAAAAGCCCCACAAGCTGGGTACAGAAGAGGTAGACTTGGAGGTAATGATCCTGCTCACCCCCTCAGAAGCCACTTAATCAGAATATCCCTGGGGGAGAAGATGCCCTGCTCTGGGTCCTGTCAGAGTACAGTATCAGGGAAAGTGAAGAACCAGCTCTCTGCTCTGCCTCAGAGGCTGAGAGAGCCTTGGGTGGATTCTAGAAGGCCAGGCATAAAGGCGTGGAAAGCAGGCACTCTGCTAGTTCACAGGCAAGCCCACAGCATCATATCCCTGGCAGCAAGGGAAGAGCGTGGGGAAAAACAAACAGAATCTATTCCGAAATTCCCCCTTTTCTGCAGGGAGGAGTAAAGTAACAGCAGAAGTAGCCTCCTGGCAAAAGAGGCTACCTGGTTTACATGTGCAGCTTATGAGCAATGGTGAGGACAGCCTTCAGGACAAGCATGAAGCTGGAGACCTCGCTGAAGCTGCTGCAGCCCACCACCTGGGCATGCACCGCAAGGCCCTGCTCAAAGTCTCCTGCGTCCACACATCGGGCAACCTCATGGAGCCCAGCCAGGACATGAGGTGAGAGCTGTGGAGGGACGGATGCTTAGGTCAGGGAGCCCAACGCAGACCCTACCCTGGGAGCATGGAAGGGTAAGAGAGGATTTAAGTTCTGGAGCCCAGGCCGGGCAAGATGTCTAATGTATGTATTTTGTGGGAAACCCAGGTCAGTGAGACCTATGAGAGAGGATACTGGCGTCCCTTTGGCCACAGGTGATGGTGGGGGGCAGAGGGGCACCACTAAGTGTACTTACTGTGCCCTGGCAGAGCTTAGCATATAGACATTCTAGACGTTGGGCTGCCTTATCCAGCTTCCGTTTTGTCTTCTGCAGGGAGAGAAATGGATTCTGAGTCCAGCCCCTAAGACTGACACTACACAGGACTCTAGAGAAGCATAGTATGTCAGAGCTGGAACGACTTAACACTACTGCTTTCATTTCACAGGAGAGGAAATGGGGGCCCAAAGAGGGTAAGTGACTTGCTTAAGCTGACACAGCCAGTGCATGAACAGCAGGTCTCCTTACTCCTAGTTTCACCCTCCCTCCAGTGCCCCATGCTGCTTTTCCATGAGTTAAGCCTCAATGCTGCTGGGCCCTGCCACCTAGGTGCTAGACTCAGACCAGCCGAGCCCCGCAACCCCTTGCCCCACACAGATATCAAATAAGTACAAGACACAGACAGTGGGTCCGCGAACCATGAGAAAAGAGTCACACAAGGAACTGATCTACAGCTCAGGGATCCTGGGAGCAAGCTAGTGGTGTGAGGAAGACATCGTGGGGAAGGCTCAGACTTACCATATCAGTGGCAAACAGGGAGCAGCGTTGCAGAAGCTTCTCAAAGCTGGTCTTCAGGGACTGATGCTCTGGAGACAGCTCTTTCCTTTCCACCTTCCCAGGGGGCCGCTGCTGAAGTTGCTGAGGGAGGAGCAGGGAGACAGGGCAGACTGGCAAGCTGTCCTTCTCACAGATTCCCTACAGACTAGTACTCAGTGACTCAGTGTCACACGCTCCCACTAGAGCACAGCAAAGCTGGGGAAAGGGGTGCGCCCTCTTCTCTGCAGTAAGGACATTTGGTACCTGTCCACACCAGTTCCCCAGTGCAAAATCGGCCTCCCCGCTGAGGAATGAGGCCCATCCACCCATGCCCCCTGCTTTTCTATACCCAAGGAGAGCTGGACAGTTTCCAAGAGGAAGGGAACGCACTATTCCTCTCACCTGCAGGCTGAATTCTCCTGGAGCTCCTGGGGGAGCATGGCCCACACCAAGGACAGAAGGCTGTGAGGAAAGGACCCCTCGTGGCTCAGGGGTGAGGCTCATAACTGGAGCAGTAATCGGTGCCGGGTGCATAAATGTCTCTGGCAACTAGAGCCAGAGAAAGAAAGGCATATGAGTCTAAACTGAGAGACTTCCTAAGCCCTGCTCTGAGAGAGTAACAGAAGGGGCGCCTGGGTGGCTCAGTCAGTTAAGCATCTGCCTTCGGCTCAGGTCATGATCCCAGAGTCCTGGGATCGAGCCCCACATCAGGCTCCCTGCTCAGCGGGAAGCCTGCTCCTCCCTCTCCCACTCCCCCTGCTTGTGTTCCCTCTCTCGCTATCTCTCTCTCTGTGTCAAATAAATAAATAAATCTTAAAGAAAAGAGAGAGCAACAGAAGTCCTGAGTGATCAAGGGAACAGAGTAGTGAGTAGGGAGCCAGGAGATGGGGAGACTGATACATGTATGCAAGAAGGAAAGAGAAGATGGCTGAGGGGAGAAGAATGAGTGGGGAAAAAGACAAGACAGTCTGTGTGCCTGACAAAGGGACAGGCTGAATTCTGGAAGAAACTAGAATGTGGGTCAGGTGGCAAGAAATGAACTGACCTTTTTCCTCTGGAGGTCTGCCCTGGGCACTGGGGCATTTTTCAAGGAATCTTGAGGTCCTGCGTAGCACAAAGATAGAGGTATTTAGGGGCACAGTCAGGAACACTGGAAATTTTCAGTCTGAAGGCCAGCAAAATTATTTTAGTTGGAGTCAATCACACCTCCCTCTGCAGACCAGCCATGTGCTCGGTTGACATTCTCCAGCCCACCGGCCCCCAATTCATTGGTGCGAGGAAAGACTCCTGAGGTGATAGTGGAAGGGGGAAGAGAAGGAGGCAATGACGGAAGCTGTGGAAAGAAGACTGACCTGGGTGAGCAGTCGAGGGGCCGGTGGTTGGGAGTGCACTACAGCATGTAGCACCTGGCCCTCCTGGAGGGTGTGTTGCAGAGAAATTGACAGGAGGGGCTAGGGACCGGAAGCTTGTAGGGCTGACCCCTGGTAGTCTCACAGGAAGTGGAGAGAACAGTCGAGTAGTCTCGGCCAGGGAGGTAGAGCCAGGCTGTATGACATCTGGGGGTACCACGGGTGGAGGTGGACCAGGAAGAGGCCATGTTCCAGGGAACCCCAGGGGGTTAGGAACTTGGGCTTTTTGCCCTCTTAACAGCAGTGGCTCAAATAAAGCTGAAAAGGAACAGAAACAGGCCATTTGCCATCAAACTTCAATTTGGGAGAGACTCAGAGCGTATCAGGGAAGAATAAGGCAGCAATAAAACAAACAAACAAACAACAAACCTAATAATGATAATGAAAGATTAGTGTATGTGTATGGAGATCTACCATTCACAAAATACTTTTAACTATTCCTCATTTGACCCTAAAAACAATCCTGTGGGGTTGAAATGACCAATATAATAGCTATTCTCACTTTTCAAAAGAAACAGTGGCTAAGTTTGTTGCCCATAGATACAAAGCCAGTAAGTGATAGTACTGGGGATTCAGACTTCAAATTCTAAGCTCCTCTCGCTACATAGTAGACATAATGCCTTCCATATCTATGCTGGCCATGCCAACTGTTTTCCTCTGTGCTCTGCCCAGACAAATATTGACTCACTCACTCACTCACTTACCAGGCCTTACACCAGGGCCCAAAGGCAAAGGCTGGGCCGCCTGGGGCTTAGGTACCCTGTAATCATTTATATTCTGTGTTTGGAAGCTTTGATAAGGGCCAGGATGGGAAGGTATCAAGGGTGTCACCAGTGATGACTGAGGTGTGAAAATCCTTGGCCTTGGAGATGGAGTTGGAACCTGTGAAGAGAAAAAAGGGTCAGCACTTGGAAAGGAAAAGAAAGGTAAGTAATTGAAAATAGAAGAACAATAAAGAATATAAAACAAAAAGCTAGCTCTTAAAATGAAAATCAACAGAACTGATAAGTTTCTATAAAAAGTGACAAAGAGGGGCACCTGGGTGGCTCAGTCTGTTAAGCACCTGCCTTGGGCTCAGGTCATGATCCTGGAGGCCCACGATCCCTGCATCAGGCTCCCTGCTCAGCGGGGAGTCTGCTTCTCCTTCTTCCTCTGCCCCTCCCCCTGCTGGTGCTCTTTCTCTCTCTCTCCCCCTCGCTTTCTCTCTCTCAAATAAACAAAATCTTAAAAAAGGAAGAACAAAGTGGGAGGAATTATTCTTCCTCATGTCAAGACTTACTATATAGAGGTAGTATTCAAGACAGAGTGGTATTGTCAGAGGGAAAGACGCACAGATCAACAGAATAGAACAGAGATCGAAAAATAAATCCATAAAAATATGCCCAGTTAGTTTTTGACAAAGGAGCAAAATCAGTTCAATGGAGGAGAGACAGCCTTTTCTTTTTTTTTTTTTTAAGAATTTATTTATTTATTGTCAGAGAGAGAGAGCACAAGTAGGCAGAGCAGCAGGCAGAGGGAGAGGGAGAAGCAGGCACCCCACTGAGCAGGGAGCCCGATGTGGGGCTCAATTCCAGGACCCTGGGATCATGACCTGAGCTGAAGGCAGATGCTTAACCGACTGAGCCACCCAGGCATCCCGAGACAGCCTTTTCAATAAATGATTACGGATATCCATTGGCAAAAAAAAAAAAAAGAAGAAGCTTGACCTAAACTTCACACCATATGCAAAAATGAACTCAAAATAGAACACAGACTTAAGTATAAAACATAAAACTATAAAACTTTTAGAAAGAACATAGGAAAACTTTAGGAGACTGTGGACTGGCAAAGACATAAAAGCCATGATCCATAGAAAGAAAACTATAAATTGGACCTTATAAAATTAAAAATTTTTGCTTTGTGAGGGACCCTGTTTAAAAGGTGAGAAGACAAATTCTTACATAGTTATACACACACACACTAGTGAGATCTGAATCTATGGATTATACTAATACCAGTTTCTTGGTTTTGACATTGTACTATGGTTGTGTGGGACACTGGCATGAAGTGGGGAGTGGGGATGTGATGCATGAGACTTCTCAGTACATTTCTTTGCAACTTCCTGTGAATCTATAATTATTTCAAAATAGAAAGGAGAGAGGGAGAGGCGGAGAGACAGAAAGAGAGAGGGGGTGGGAGAAGGAAGAGGAGGAAGGGGAAAGAAGGAGGAAAGAAGAAAGAAAATTAAGACGAGAACTGAAGCTGGGACAGGATGAATCATCAGAGCTTCCGCCTGGTACCTCTATTTCCCATCTCGCTGGATTTTGTTCCCCAGTCCCTCCAGCAGGATCCTGGTATCATAAGTTAATAGCACCCTAACCATCTGGGTACTGGTTAGTGCCTGGGGGTCAGCTCCCCCACTTCACAGACTCCTCTAAACCATCACCAATTTCGGTCAATTCTACCTATTATCTTAAATCCAATCTCATTCTCCAGCTTTAGGTCCGTCATTTCATGTCCTCATCATCTCTTGCTATTGCCTCTTAAATGCCTCCAGCCTTGCCCTTCCTAAATACATAGCTAGTCATTCCCCTGCATAAGACCATTCAATTTCAGGGTCAAGTCTAAGGTCTTTAGCACAGAATTCCAGGTCCCTCCTGCTCTATCTCCTACCTGTTACTCCAGCTTCATCTAACCTCACTCCCCTACAACAAACACCTGTTTTGCAGCCCCATTAAAATATTAGTAGTTCCTTAAGTGGGCTTTGCTTACTCTCCCTTCAATGCTTTTGTACATGCTGTTCCCACTGCTTGAAATAGCATTTACCTACTCCTTCCCTTGCCTAAATAACTTTTAATCTTCAATACTCAGATCAAACATCATACTCATTCTAAAACATTCCCTAAACTTCTCCCCCTCCTCAAAAGACTAAGTTGCTTTTTTCTGTGTGATCCCATGTCACCTTATCATACCCTAATCATGGCATTGATGAATTTTAGTGTACTTATTTTTTACATATCTATCTTTCTACTAGACTAGGAGCTAATTAAGGGCATAATCATGGTTTGTCCACATTTCTGTTCTAAGAGCCTAGCAGTTGTTTGACAAGCAGTTATTAGAAAAATAACTGCATCTATGCTCTACAAAGTTGAGAATTTTTATCATTTTTTTTCACTAATATATTCCAAGTGTCTAGAACCATGCTTGGTACCTGGTAGACATTTAATAAGTATTTTTGAATGAATGAGCAAATGAATGAACAAACCAAACCAGGTCTTACCTGGTAAGAAGGCCGGAATTCCAATCTGTAAGATGTTTTAGAGTGGGGGGTAGCTCCCACAACAACCCGTGGGAAGGGGAAAGGAGGACACTGTTGGCCCAAGACACCAGAACCTTGGGCATGAAAAAGTCGATCTCTCAGCTGCTGAATTGGTGGCTACAAAAGTTACAATAGGGAAGAACTGTGTTAATTAAAACAAGTAAACATCCTTTCTTATAATCCTGGCCCCATATAGCCTTCAAACTTCAGTTGGCCCTCTACACTTCAGCTACCTTAGATGACTCAAAGGTCCCTAATCCCTGCCAAGCCTCCCTCCCTACTGTTCCTTCTGCCTAGAATGCTCTACATCTGCTGGGAAGCTGCTTCTTTTCGAAGGTCCAGCTCAACTGGTTCAACCACTGGAAAGCCTTCCTTGACTGCTCTGGGCAAAACCAGCCCCTTTCCTGGAGTCCCACAGTGCCTAGTATAAGCTTCTGTTATAACACTGTAAGTTACTGACATCTGATTTCCCCCAAGGGACTGTGAGCTTCCTAAGGGACTAGATCTCATTTATTCTAGAATTCCAGCATTTGCATAGTGCCTAGAACATGTCAGTGCTCAGCCAATGTTAGATGACTGAAATGGTTTGCTCTCTGTACATGGTCCCACTCACCTGAGTACAGTCACTGGGTAGGTAGCCCATGGCAGTGGCCAGGCTGCCCTGGGCTGCCAGGAGGTTGGCATACTGAGTGACCCTGCAGGTTGTGGCAGGGCCTGAGCTCACCCCGTCAGGACCCCGCAGTAGCTCCAAGCTCCTATTAAGGACCATCACCTTCTCCATCAGGTCCTATAGGAACAGGGATAAAGGCAGTCAGGTCTCTTCAAAGCACATCCTGCTCCCTAAGACCAGGCAGTTCACCCAGGGACTTCCCACTATGGGTATGAGGGTACCTGGCCATGGCCAGGTATAGGCAGCAAGTGATGATATGTAAGAGATGTAATAGTTAGAGAAGAGCCTCTTGGCCTCACCTCCCAAGCTATTAGCATTTGCTTCAACTGGGTCCATCTGGGTCTTAGACTCTCATACATCCCTGCCTCTTTTTTTTGCTTTCTTTACCCTTTCCTCTGCTAGTACATCATCAATTTCAGGGTCTGTTATACTATCGTTTCATCTGTGACTTTGTCTTCCTATGAATCTTCTCTAGTTACCTGTAGAGCGTCTGGTAAAATTTAAATCCACAGAACTTTTCATAGCAGCTAATAGGAGGCCCAGGCTCACAATTATTCAAATAGAGAATAAGCTTGTATAACCAAACCTAAAGTGGGAAAAAATTATGAAGGTTAATACCTAAGCAGCTGTTGCGCAGTCTCCCCTGACTGGGAAGGAGAGAGGAAGGTGCTAGCTCATCCCTGGGAAAAGGTCCCAGACACTGAAGGCCCTTTTCTACTCCCTAATATACTGATCCCAGCCTGGGTACCCAGAAGACTAGCCTCTGATGTCCCTGCACATCCCTATCAATAGCCTCTCCTAAGAGCCTGGTATGGAGTGACCAGTGCCCTACAGAGAAGGAGTACCTGTAGAGCCAGGGGGGATGAAGCCTGGTGGCATTTTGCCCAACACTCCACCAGCTGCTCCACACTGCCTGAGCACACATAACAGAGTCTGGCTTCGGAGATTAGTGCTCTGCCACCCTCCTGCTCCATGCGAGTACCCAGCATGTCTGCAGAGAGAAGGAAAATTCTTTAATGGCATAGCTTTCCTATGCTTCTTCTCATCCTCCTGTTTGAAAATAGGTGGAGGATCATGAGCTGGGACAAGTAACCACAGTGGCTTTGGACAGTAATGAGGCCAATTTTGCACTACAGTGAAGGGCGGAGCTCTTGCATCAATATGTAACGAGAAAAAGTAAAACAGGACAATACTGATCCCTACTACAGTCCTTGCCTCCCAGCTGAACCAGACCTTGGCCTTGACAACACGGCCTGGCCTCCCAGAGCTCAGGCTGCTCCTCTGCCTCCTCCCTCACCGTGTCCGTTAACTCCATGCTAGAGTCACACCACTCCATCCTGAAACCCAGGGCTACCTACCACAGAGCTCAGGGAATTTCTCTGGCCCAGAGTATGTCAGTAGCAAGGCCAGTGCCTCTTTCCAGTTCTGCAGGCTACAGGCAGAAACCATTTCCTCCCAATTCTTCCGTACAACACAGGCTAGCAGCTATAATGGGCAGAGATGGAAGGAGGTCATTAGCCATCCATCCAACACAGGCCGTCAGAGTCACACACAGGGACATGCTAAGAAAAACCATTGGTGAACAGGCTTCCTATTAGACCACTGACTAGGGGTTGCAGGTGAGGTAGGGGTGGTTGGAGTGGGGAGAGGGAAGGCCTGGCAGATCTTCTGAACATCAAGGTGTAGGCATCCACCTGACAAAGTCCCAGTAATCCCTTCCCTCCTCTCCTGCACAGTGGGCAGTTACCGAAGAGATTCTGGTTTTCTTCTTGGCCCAGTAGCACTCCTGTGTTTGCTTTAGCAGATCTGCGCCCCCAGCCTGGGCCAGGATGATGGCATCAGCAAAGCGCTCTTCTTTCAGACACAGCTCCACAGCAGGGCGTAGTTCTCCAAGCAGGAGAGCCTGGCTCAGGAGTCCATCAGTGTCTGCAGGCAGAGGCATCCCCTCCATGTGAGCCTCCCTCAGACCCTAGCTTCCCTACAGTGCCCATAGTACACCCCTTCTATCTCTGTATCACTCAGCCTCCCTTGCCCCAAACAAAACTCCCAAGTTTCATTCCTCAACAACAAAATGTAGTGGGCTGTCCCAGAGTGCCAGGTCCAGTGGTAACTCTCTAAGGACAGGGCTAAAGATGAGGGAGAGCCTATCATATGGCAACATTAGAGGTATAGTGTGTGGTTGCTCAGCAAAAACAGAGTCACAGTCTTTTAAGTAAGAAAACAGTAGGAAAAAAATTTGCTAGAAGCCCTTCCACAGGAAAGATGTATCCATAAAAATCCAGAGAGAGCTCCAACCAGTAACAGAACCACTCAGCATTTGTGATGGTGGGAGGGAGGCAGGAGGCAGGGGACAAGAAGAAAATGTTCTCAAGCCCAAGAACTCTGAGCCCACCTACTCCCATATAGAGCATTTCTCTCCCTCAGGATCAGAGTACCTTCTGTGATGGGGATCTCCCATGGAGTCATATTCTGAGGGACCAGCTCATCAAAGAAGGATGAGGAGGCAGAGGCTTCCTCTGTGATGTGTTCGGAGGTCTGTACAAGAAAGGAAAGAGGTGGCTATTTTGGAAATGAACCTGAAAACAGACAGCTGGCTTAGTAGCTCTCTCTGGGAGCTCTACTATCTGGCCCTTAATGGGTAAAGCTAAAGAATAACCAGATAAGGTTTGGGAAGGGCTCTAGTCCATAGCTCCTCTCCCAGCCCCAAAGCTTATGCACTCTGTGTCTCACTGTGGTTCCAAGAAATGAGGAGTTTGAAGACTTCTACAGAAGCCAAGCACTTTATGAGAGCAAAGCAAACGTCTAGGAAGGGGCAGATGCCCTAAAGGCAGGTCTCCTGTGCTACCCCAGGTCTGGCTGTCTGGGCTCCAACCACACCTGGCTGCAGAAAGCCTGCTGTCTGTTACTGTGGAGATCATGTCCCTTGGCCTGAGGGCTGTCACCCAGCCCCAAGTCACTCTTCAAACCCGTGGCCACCTGCAAGGAGAGACCTATGAGTACCCTCTTCCCAGCACAAAGTCAAACACCTATTATGCTTTCTTCCCATCTCCACACCACACCAACTGGACTCTCTAAGATCCTTGGGCTATTTACCTGGGGAAAAGCCTACATCCAGGAGGTAAAAGGTTTGTATATGCGTTAATGAAGCCCAGAAAGAGGTCACTGAGACGGTTTCCACTGACAGCATTCTCTTCTTCTCTGCTTCAAGTACGTGCCTCTGATGTGAAAGCAGCTTACCTTCTCCTGGAACTCATCTTTACTGTATCCTAATAGTTTTAGAAATTTCATTCTGGAGTCTTCCTCTAAGGTCACCTAATAAACCACAGAACACACAAGGCTTCATTAAATCAATGTGAATGACCCTCTCTTGCATAAGCCGAACATCCGTGCCAGTGAACCCTCTAATATAGTTCTTCATACTACCAGAAGTGCCCTACTGAGGCCAACACCATCTCTGCCCTTTTTCTCCCTGGATTTGATCCTGCTGGGCTAGAGGCATGGTGTTAACAAAACCCTCTCCCACTTCTACATGAGAACTGGACCTTCTGTTGACTTACTAGATCTGTTAGCCTGGTTACCTGGTAAGAGTCAAACGTCACCTATGTTTCCAGGCAACATTGCTTGTGATGGATAAATTGTATCTGGACTGGAACTATACAAAACTTAAATAGCATCTGTGGACACCATGCTCTAGGCTTCCGATTGCAAGGACTCTTGTAACTGAACAGATCTCTTGTAGGGACTCTAGAAACATTTTTGAAGTGGGTACAAGAGACATTGGCTCTTGTGGGCATGAGGTTTCAAAACCAGGGCCACTGACACACCTGCCTTGTGTGCATCTCATCACCTTGTACCTGAGCTGTCTTTCAGGGAGGCGACAAGAACTCTGAACTGCTGCATGGGCTGCTGCAAGAACCCCCACAGAAGAGCGCCACCTCCGGCTGCCCTGCGAAGCCGTGGTTCCTGTCCCACATCCTTCTGAGGAGACTGATGCCAAGTGAACCTACAGAGTCTTGTGAGTCTAAAATATCTAGTTGAAGGGGCGCCTGGGTAGTTCAGTCCGTTAAGCGTCTGTCTTCAGCTCAGGTCATAATCCCAGGGTCCTCGGATTGAGACCCGCATCGGGCTCCCTGCTCAGCAGGGAGTCTGCTTCTCCCTCTCCCTCTGCCTGCCTGTCTGCCTACTTGTGATCTCTTTCTCTCTCTAAGAAATAAAATCTTTAAAAAAAAAAAACTACTTGAAAGCATAGTTCGTGGTAGAAGCTGCACAGATACAATAAACAAAGTCAGCTTAGGTGTGCCTGGGTGGCTCAGTCGGTTAAGCGTCTGCCTTCGGCTCAGGTCATGATCCCAGGGTCCTGGGACCGAGCCCCGCATCGGGCTCCCTGCTCAGCAGGGAGCCTGCTTCTCCCTCTCCCTCTACCTGCCTGCCTGTCTGCCTACTTGAGATCTCTCTCTCTCTGTCAAATAAATAAATAAAATCTTTAAAAAAAAAAAAAAGAAAACAAAGTCAGCTTACCCACTCAGTGTCCCAGATACTGGGGGCCAAGCCTTCCTGAAGCCGTACCTTAATCTGGGTTAGCTGGCTGGGCCCTTCATTTGCCCTACCCAGAGCCATGAATTCTGACTACTATCTTTCTCACAGTCTCTCAGGGCTCCTTTCTTCTCCCATATTTGTCCTTTGGAAATGTTCAGCCACATTCAGCTTCAGAACCATCATAATGGACAGCTCTTGGGTTGGTTTTCAACCAGACTCCCTTCTATCCTTAAGTACTGCTGCCTCCTTTGTTCAGAAGAAAGGCTCAACTCCTGATGATGCCCTCTATTCTCTTTCCCATTCCATCATTCCTGGAGCAGTTGCTCGTATTCTGATTACAACAAAAGCATCATTTCTTATTCTTTTCTTCCCACACCTTTTTCTAGCTTCACTCTACAGTTGATGATCCTTCTCAAATCCTGTCTCCTTCCCAGATTCCTGGTGTCTACCATCACAAAGTTCTACTACGTCTGAAGCATAGACCCCAAGCCCTTCTTAGATCCCCTGGGACAGCTCTGCCCTTTTTGCATTATTCACTATGATCCCAAAGCTTTGAATAATCCTCTCACTGCCTGTCCAGTCAGTTCTCTTTCCCCCTTTAGTTCTCTCCTCCCATCCACTCAATTCCTTTGACAGGTGGAACACTCCTCCTGATGTCATGCACAACTTAAAATTTCATTAGCACTGAACTTGGTCCATGCCTCCAGAGTAAGCTGGGACTTAAGCCCTGAGTCCCACCACCATAACTTGCCTTGGGTTACCTGAAACAAACTCAAAGCCTTCTCATGATGATGCCCCCTTCCAGCCGATCCTCTTTCCTTCCTTTCCTTTCTCTTCTCTCTTCCCATCACGTCATCTGCCCTTTGGCATGGCATAAAAGCCTTCACCTCGGCCCTGCTAAAGTATCTAGGACATCAGCAATAGAAGCAAAAAAGGCAAATGTCACTTGTACCCCTCAGCTTCCTTAGCTGCAAAAGGTCTCTGAGACACTGGTAAAAGGTGAAGATTCTGTGTCCAGAGGGTGGTGTGGTGTAGGAAAAAGCCTGAGAGGTCAGGGCCTCTGTAATCTAGGTCACAATGTAGTTGTCCATCTCCCAGAGTTTCCGGCTTTGGGGAAACACACTTTGGAGCAGCCAGCCTCAGGCTTCCTACCTTCAGGAATTGCCAGAGCATCTTTTCACTTTGCAGTGATGTTTGTTCGATCTTGTTCTGACAATAATTCAGAAGATTTCCTGATTCCAGGGCCTCCCACAGCTCAGCTGACCGCCTCAGTAATTCAGATTCTGTGATGACTTGACTGATGAAGACTAGGCGGAGGCAAGGCTGTGGCACCTGATGGGCAGGGGTGCTGGGGAGGCCAAAGGTAACCAGCTTCCCTCCAAACTGGTGAGGAAAAACAAGAAGGGTGAAGGTTGTATCTTCAAGCTAAAAATTGACACCAAGTCCACATCACAGGGAAGGCTATTTATTGGTCGACCCTAGGATAAGAAATCAACAATAAGAACTCCTGGGGGTGGAATAGGATCAGGAAATGAGCAGAAAATGCACCCCTATACCTAAACCACCTCTAAATTTTTAGCACCATCAGCATAAAACTCTAGCACATGGTGCTCACCTTCTGACCCGGGCTGGTAGCACCATTCTCCCAGTCACCTGGACTAAACGCCTTGGCGTCATCATGGTCTTTATACCCACCACAGCTACAGCCACGGAACAGCAGTCTTACCTCTTCTTAGGCAGTGTCTCTCACACAGAGCCCCCTGCCCCATCCCCAGTGCTAGCATGCCTAGGTTATTGGAATAGGCGGCTGGCCTCTGAGTTTTCCTCCTCCAATCCAAGCCTTAGACTACCACCCTGTACCTATGGCTGCTTAGGAGTGTGTTCTGGTTCCAAAGGCCACAAAAGAGAGCTTAAGCTCCTCCAAAGTCAGGGCTAGACTCTCTAGCCTCTCTCTCCCTGCTCATTTATGTGATCTCTCCACATCCCCAAAGTGCCAGTTCATTCTGCCTTCTGAGCCTTCAACCACCAAAACAGCCCCACCTGAGCATCCTTCTCACACAATTAGGTACCCTACCTAAAGCATCTGTCACCAAGCAGAGCTTAGTAAAGTTCCTTGACTCTAGCAGGTCTCCACCGTGGCTGCACATTAACACAACCTGAGGACCTATCCAGAGTCATGAGGCTGCACTCTGGACAATAAAGTCTGAATCTCTGGTGGTGGGACTAGACATCAGTATATTTGAAAGTTCTTCAGGTTGCAGCCATGGTTGACAACTACTGCTTACTTCCCAACCCTTCACTATTTCCTTTCCTGAGACCTCCTCCTTAATGAACTTTCCCAGTTGGAATTCTTCACTTGATTCCCACAGCACAAACCTACACTACAGATTAGTGCTAAACAAAACAAACTTAACTTTTGATTTGTTAATATTTGATAGTCTTACAAAGTGCTTATGTATATTCTTATTTGAGATTCATGTCAATTCACTAACATAAGCTGAGCAGGTACTACTATCCCTGTTTTACAGACAGTCGAACTGCCCAAGGTTACCCAGCTAATAAGTGACAGAGCTATGATAAGAATGCAGGCCTCAGGTGCCTGGGTGGCTCAGTTGGTTAAGTGTCCGACTTTTTGATTTCAGCTTAGGTCATGATCTCAGGATAATGGGATCGAGCTCCGTATCGGGCTGCTTGGCCGGAAGTCTGCTTGAGATTCTCTCTCTCTCTCTCCATCTGCCCCCTCCCCCCACCTATGCATGGGCGCTCTCTCTCTCTCAAATAAATAAATAAATCTTAAAAAAAAAATACAGGCCTCTCCAGACAGACCCATAAATACAAAGAAACTGGTGGTTGCCAGAGGGGAGAGGGGTGGGAGGATGGGCAAAATGGGTGAGGTGGAGTGGGAGGTACAGGCTTCTAGGTATGGAACGAGTAAGTCATAGGGATGAGAGGCACAGCAGAGGGAATACAGTCCATGACACAAGCATCGCGCTGTAGCTACACTTGTGGTGAGTACGGCATAACATACAGACTTGTCAGTCACTAAGCTGTACACCTGAAACTAAAATGTAACATTGTGCATCAACTATACTTCAATAAAAAAAGGCAGAAAATCAGAGCACCTGGGTGGCTCAGATGGTTAAGCATCCGCCTTCAGCTCAGGTCATGATCTCCAGGTCCTGGGGTCGAGCCCCACGTTGGGCTCCCAGCTCAGTGGGAAGTCTGCTTCTCCCTCTCCCTCTGCCTCTCCCCCTGCTTGTGTGCTCTCTCTCTATTGAATAAATAAAATCTTTATTTAAAAAAAGGCATAAAATAAGTATTGGGGCTGATGTAGAGAAAATGAAACTCTTAGGCATTGCTGTTGGAAATATTGTGAAGCTGCTGTGGAAAATGGTATGGTGATTCCTCAAAAAATTAAAACACAGAATTACCTCCTGAAACAAACAAAAGGAATGTACTTCTCTCAACATCAGAATTCTTCACCTCACTGCCTCCTATGTTAGCTTTACCTCCACAATAAAACTGGAGGCTGTGAACACAAGAACCACTTATTTGATACATCTGTTTTCAATTCAAACCTAGTATTTAAAGCACTGGATTAAGTGCTTTAGGACCCTGCCACTCCTCAGACCAGCCGCAAGGGCACCACCTGGGAACTTGTTGGAAAATCAGAATCTTGGGCCCTACCCTAGACTGAATGAACCAGAATCTGAATTTTCATAAGATTCCCCAGGTGATCTGTATGTGCATTAAAGTTTGAGAAGCACTTGCTTTAGGGATAAAAATGAACAAAATGTGGTCCCTATCTTCAAGGAGTCTATTACTTAGTAGGGTCTCCACACATGTATTTAAGTAACCTTAGTACAGTTAGAATGCATCATTACAGGAGTAGAAATCCTGGAAGTGAAGTTTGACAAGAGTTTAAAGACAGGCATTGTGGAGGGGGTGGTACTTAAGCAAGGGACCATAAAAGACTATAGTAGGATTCCGTGGCTCAGGAGAGAAGTGAAGGGCAGGGTACATGCAGAAGCAGCAAAGTTGAGGAGTTATTTGTGGAACAGAAAGGAGTCATATGTAACTGGAACCTAGGGAACACATAAGAATAAGGTGAGGATAAAAACTGGAAAGGTAAGTCCATAAGGGAATGGGAGTCAAAGGTTTTGGGCAGAGGAGTGACAGGATGGAATTTATGTATTTTTTTTCTTTCCTGCTTTGTATTTCTAACCCTTACATGTCTGGACTACCAGTCCAGACATGTAAGGGTTAGAGAAAAATCAGGTGGAATCTCAGGCAGTTCTCTATAACCAAGCAGCCTATAGCAACCAATACCTTTTAGACAGGACTGGCACGGTAAGCAAGGTGAAGGGGTAGAGGGAAAAGCAATAGTAACTCTGCTTGAGCCCTAAAATGGGCCTGATCTGAGACACAGGCAGTAGGAATAAATCTCCTACAGAACACGGCTACATGTTGGGCATACAAGAGGCTTCACAGATACACATGCACAACCATGCACACACACCCCCACACACTATACTTACAGCAAATGAAACACCTGCTGGCCTTCTCATCCATTTGGGGGGTTTTTTTAGAGGAGGTATCAATGATGCTTGGGCCACTTGCTCTGGTACCTGCAGCAGTGGGAGAGGCTGGCCTTTGCCAAAGGAAGAAGAGATCTGAGGGTAAAAGCATACCTGTATCACCAACCTGAAGTGGTGCTGCATCTGTAAACTTTACTCAGGGAGAAATCCTTGAGATACCCAATCTGGCCCAGAAAGGCTGGACTCCCGTTTTCTAGGGAACTGGTAGTGAGGGTAGGACTCCCATGCAGTAGGCTCTTGGAAAACCTACTGCATCCAAGGTCTACAGTGGAGTGTAGACACAGAATGGATCTACAGGAGAAAAGGAGATAAGACAGTTCATACTTCCAAAATAATGGTCCCAGCATGGGATCCAATGTCCCTGAAATATCACAGGGAACATCCAAGAGCAAGAGTCAACATGAAGGCCTCTTCTGTACTGTGGCAGGAACGGACACCCTCCCAGGAAGATGGGCACTAGAGAAAAGGTGGAGCCCTCCCAACCCAGGGTCCTGGCTTCCCAGTCTTCAACAGTCCCCACTTCCTCCCAGGCCATTCGTCCTTTTCTCTCCCCCCATATAGAGACAGCATTCCCTCCAGCATTCTCCACCAAGCCTTTCAAACCTTGTCAGCCTGTCTCATCTGCTGGACTTCCCAGCTCCTACCCATCACGGAGTACAAACTGATCCAGCCGTCAAAGGAGGCAGCAGAGAACACTGGAGGGTCCCGAGGGCACCACTGCACATCAAAGCACCAGCTGCTCTGTGTGCATAGCTTATATACTACCTGTGAGGGAACCCAAGCATTAGAGAAACCCTGACTTAGGTAAGGTAACCCAGAACACACAGCTTATTTCCCTTCCCAACATGCCCACAGAATGGCCAGCCTACCTCATTGCTCCCCAGGTTCCAACACAAGATCTGGTTGTCCTTGGCACTACTGAGCAGAAGCTCAGCATCAGCCTGGCTCCACGACACTGACAAGATCCCCCTAAAAAGGAAAGAGCAACTAACATTTGTCGAATGCCTACTCTGAGTAGGGTACCTTAAATATCTTGCATAAATTTCATCCCTATAAAACGAGCAGTCTGATTTCATTTTACAAACGAGGAAAATGAGGCTTTGAAAAATTAAAGAACCTTCAGCAGTCATGCAGCCAGAACCCCAGTCAAATCCCAGAGCCTGGGCACTACACACTGTATCACTCTGCCGCCCATGGGTCCCCACAGAATGGCCTGCTTCTTTTCCCTGACTGTAGAGTAGGGACTATGAACAGCATGAATCAGGCAGCACCCACCCCTCTGGGTGCTTTTTTTTTTTAGCAGGAGGGTGGTGAGGACCCAACTCTTCAAAGTCCCCAAGAAGGTATAGAGGCAATACAGCCCTTTAGTAAGAAAGAACAGCGTGGGCTGCTTTTTCTGCTATGGGCCTAAGAGCTACAGCTTCAGGGGCAGGCCTGTTCAAAGGATAAACAGGAGCCTGGTTCTCTTATTAAGGAGAAGTCTTGGAGGAAGCAACCTCACCACCTAGAGAAATGAACATTATCCTTAAATCAGAGCCTGGGGACTCTCCCAGGGGGACTAAACATTGGCTCCAAATATTTCTCATGACCCCATCTACACTCCCGTTTCTGGAAGTTAAATGGAATCTCAGGTCCTTTTCCATAACCTCAGGATCTCAAGGAACTCCTCTTTGTTGGGGTTAGAGCTAGGACCGGGAGACTGTATGTTCACTGGGAACGACTTTGAAGACATGGAAGATGTTTGGTAACTAAAGTGAGGCATTCACCGCCTCCTACCCAGGTCAGTTATGCCCCACCATCCACCAAGGATGTAGACACAGTTTGAGACATTACCTGCTGTGGCTCTCCAGCACTTTCAGGGGCGAGGAGGCAAAGCGCAAATCCCACAGCTGAATCACTGGAAAACGATCATCTTCTGAACACAGCACCAACTGGGTGGCTATGTCTGGGTGCCAGGCCAGGCCTGAGCTGTGCATCTGTGGACAAAGCAGACCCCAATGGGTGATGTAACCTGACACTTCTGGTTATGAACCTTTTCTGCCCAGTTGGAATAGGACCTCTGAGGGCAGGTTTTGTGTCTCTTCTGTGATAAGTGATGACCATGAGTAAGTAAGGAACACTAGCAGCCTCTGGATCAGCTCTGCTTAGCTTCCCTAAGCATTCACTCTCAACAGGAAATCTGCTAAGAGGCTGAACCTGCAAGTGCAACAGCTGAAAGCAGACACCTGGCCTGGGGAAGAGCAGCTCCAAAGTCTAGGCATGAGAAAGAAGCCAGAGCCCGAGACTGTATTCTGCCTCCACAACGCACCCTGTTGCTATGATCGCTGACTTTGATGATAGGTTCATTCTTCCTGAGATCCCACACAACTGCCTTGCCACTGGGGTGAGCAGAAGACAGAATGTGTTGAACTTGCCGGTTCCAAGCCAGTGCCTTGATGTCTTCTGGAGGCTGCTGAGGCAGGAAGGGGGGGAAGGGGTAGAGGATAGAGGACAACTTGTCATCTCCTGGACCAAGAGCCATCTGCTGTTCCACTGCTCCCAACCCCCCACAGAAAGCCCAAGAGTAGACATGGGGCTTCCCCAACCCAAACAGTGTCAGGGAGCTGGGAGTTGAATTTTCCAGAGAGGGTCCTTTAGGGGACTGGTGTAGAAGCTGAGAGAATGGCAGGCACACTTGGAATTTACCCCTATCCCAAGGTGCTCCTGAGAGGATGGAGTCAAGATTTAAAACAGCCCTCTTATCTATGACAAAGAGAGAAGTAGAGGAGGAGGAAGGGAGGGAAACAAAGACATGTAAGACCCCCCAGAAAGAATGAGGCAGAAAGAAAAGCCATTGCTATCTTTAGGGCACAAGGTGCTATCAAATTTATACTTAACTTACCTCACGATACTGTAAGCACAAGACAGAGAAGAGCCGGGAAGCAAAGAAGATGGGCCCAGTTATAGACTGACAGGTAGGTGCACTCAGAGACAGACATACACAAGACCCCCAACTGCACGGGGGAGCCCGGTACAGAGGCAAAGCTGACCCACCCCACAAAAAGGACAAGGGTATATCTGCGCATCCCCTCTTGGCCCCACTCCACTGAACCCAGGGCCCTACTCTACTCTGCCTAAGCCCTACTATGATAAATAGTATTCACTCCTTTTCTCAGTGTCTTTTACTGCCTTTCTTCATCTTCCTTCCAGAAACCCTAGGACAGTTAATGACCACAAACCACCACACACACACACACACACCCTCCCCTCCATCCCTGTTATGGGTTGGCTGGTAACATGTTAGTCTGTGGCACTTTATTTCCCTCCAGTGGTAAAGTCCAAACTCTCCTGTGCTCTGGGTGCCTCCAGAATTCAAGACTTTCCTGGGCAAATCAGCTGCACACTCTAATCAGCAGCCCCGGGAGACTCCTTACCTGTGACTTAGATCCTGGGGTCATTGGCACATTTAAGTTATTCAAATCCCAAATAAAGATTTCAGAATCACTGGCCCCCGAGGCCAGGAGGTTGCCCTGTATGAAGAAAAGGCCTTTGGAGACATACCATCCCAGAAAAAGTTAAGAACAGGAAAGGGGGAAAGAGACCCACATTTGGGGCTTCCAAAACCTCCCCCACAACAGTGCGGGAAGGGCTCAGAATTATAGACTGGAGGTCTCAAGTGAATGCTTCCACTCAGATCTGTGGCTCCATGGCTTGGGCATGTTTGACCAAATGAAATGCAGTACCTGGAAAGGATTAAAGTCAAGGGCTCTGACAGCCCCTGTGTGCTTCTGTCTCTGGGCAATCACAGGGTCCTTCCCAGAAGACAGGATGTGGGTCACATTGTATAGAGTAAGCAGGCCATTGTCCCCGCCACCTGCAACGACCCCGGAGCCTTCCGGAAGCCCATCGCCAAAGCTCCCCCAGATCAGCTTGTAAAACCTACAAAGAGGAGGAACTGGCATCAGCACCAATGCAGAATCATGTCAGTAGGCAGAGAGGAGGCATTTCTGTCAGCCTCTGCCATTATGCAGGTATCCCCACCGAGATGAAATCTGCCTGTCTCCCTCACTTACCAGACACACAACACAGGTTTCCTTGCTTGGTCCTGCCCTTTCTCTGATAAAAAATTCCATCTTTGTTACACTAGGAAGGCAGGAGACCACTGCCTCAGAGTTGTGTGGCATATTTGTTTGTTTGTTTTAATTAACATTATTAGGGTTATATAGGCCCAGGGATACATATTTCAAATAGATTCGTTTACTTAATCTTCACAACTCAAATAACAGCAACTAACGCTTATTGGATACTTCCTATGTGCCAGGCACTGTTTTAAGTGCTTCACATGTTTAGCTGATTTAATATTAAATAACCCTATGAAGTATTAACTCCATTTTCAATTGAGGAAACTGAAGCACACAGAATTTATGAAACTTCTGTATGCACAGTAATTTTATCTCTATTTGACAGCTAGGAAGTGGAAGAATCAAGGTTTAAAGTCTGGCCCATCTTATTTATTTTTATTTATTTTTGTAGAGAGAGAGTGAGAGCGGGGGAGGGACAGAGGGAGAATCTTAAGCAGACTCCACACTCAGCATGGAGCCCAACATAGGGCTTGATCTCATGACCCTGAGATCACGACCTGAGCCAAAATCAAGAGTCAGACGCTCAATCCACTGAACCACCCAGGTGCCCTGGCCCATCTTATTTTAGAGCCTGAGCTCTTAAACATCATAAAATAGTGTATTCTGTCTAGAGGAAGATCCAAATTCTTTTGTACCTGACTAGAAGCAGGTTCCCTACACCAACAATTGCTGTCCCCTCTTCCCTCTCAAGCTGGAAGTAAGAAAAGACCCAAGGACCTCTCCACCCTGTATCTCTTCCATGTGACTAGCCCACTGGATCTGCTATATGGCTACAGTGAGCCAGCCCTACAAACATAGAAACGTAAAGAATAAACATACCTCTTGGGAAACACTTTAGGCTTTCTAATGATGCTTCTAACAAGACATTGCCAGTGTCTTGCACAAAAGAAAAAGATGGACCCTGCGCCCCTGCAGACAAAGATGGGTCCTCTGCAAAGCCCCTAGGGAAGGCATGTGAGATCCCCAAAGCCTCACAGGTAGTCTGTCCTTCATTTCACAGCTGCTTGCCAAGGGTATTTCCACAGCCCTTCAGAGAAGCCAGATTTCACATCAAATGATGTCATAAGATCCCTAACTGAAATGAAATGTTCCCACACCCTGGAAAGTTGGCCAGGAAACTGAGTGGGGTGACTGGGCAGGAACCTGTCTGGCCAGTCATTAGCTAAGCAACCACCTGTTAGAAGTAAAGAGCTGAGCACTGGTTGAGACCAGGTCAGCAACTGAGATAAAACAGCAGAGCTGACACAAACAGTGGCTCCAAAGTTACTGCCCAAACGGCTATGTGTTCTAAGGTTGCAATGATCCTAACAAGGCAGAAGAATGTACGTGACACTGGCTCAAGAGGCTGCCATGTCCCCCTGGGGCTAGACGTCAGTGTGGGCAGAGGGCAAGTCAACAGAGTAGCTAGAGAAGCCCAGAATCTGTCTCACAGGAACCAGAGGAGAGTATGGCCAGAGAAAAACTCACACAGGGATGGGAGAAGATGTTCCAGTAACCTCAGTATGGTCACAGCTTATGACATCCAGAGCGAAGACAAAGGCACCTGAAACCTCAAGGGGGAATCACTGAAGAGTTGGAAAATAAAGCCCTGTTAGTTTAGAGTGACCAAAATGCAGAGCACAGAGCGTGACAAAATGACTTTCTTTCTCTAAGCATGTAGCAAGTACGGTCCTATGGTTAACCATTTCACTAGTGAGGGTGAAGCAGGAGCCCACACAGGACAGGACAGAGCACCCCTGGGAGAGTGGGACCAGCTGCGGTAAGTTAAGCAAGGACCCGGACATGATCACTCAGTGGGCTCAAGGAGTGTCAATCATTTCTGCTCTGCAAATGGACAGGGAATAACACGTGTGTGTGTGTGTGTGTGTGTGTACATGCATGCATGTGCATGCAGAGAAAGAGCGCATAAGCATGTAGGCAAATGCAACAAAAAATTAACAACTGATAAATCTAAGGAAAGGTATATGATTATTCATTGTACTATTCTACGACTTCTCTGTTTGAATAGTTTAAAAATAAAAACTTAAGAAACAAGATGACCTTTGGCTTGAAAATAGAACTTTCATCAGACATTAGAAGACAAGAGATTTAAGGATATGGTAGAGAGAGAGTTTGTATAGAAAAATGGGAAATTTCAAAACATGAGAATACCGGTGGAATTGTCTGAAGAGGTTCCCATGGAGATGGCAACAATGGGCACCATAGAGCATCAAGAATGATGGGTGGCACCTAAAGAAAATACAGATTCTTTACATACCTACCTAGACCTTGCAAAGCAGAATTTCCAGAGAGAGGCCCTCAGAATCCACATTTTTAACATGAGCCCCCAGGTGATTCTAACAAGCAACCAGGGTTGAGAACCCCTGTACTAAATACATCAGACTGATACCAGCCTAGACCAATAAGGGAAGACGCTGAAATTCACAAAGAGAGAACCAGCCCTAATGACCAGCTCATGGCTATGCTTCTGGCAGAGAGAAAAAGACAAGGTTAAAGAGAATAAACTGAGGCCTGAGAGATCAGAGGGTCATCGCAGCGAAGCTCAGCTGAGGCCAAGCTTTAGCTACTTTATAATTAGGAACGTGGGCTGTGTCAATTCTTGCTTCTGTAATTTAGGGACTTTTTTGTTTAGGACTTTGCTTTTATTTGCTTAGTTAGGTTCCTTTTTAAAAATCCCAACCTCATCTTAGTGAACTAAAGTGAAAACAAGCCAAACTAGCTGAGGGAATCCAAGTTTCCTAAAAGTCAGAGCGGTGAAGGCAGTGCTCCAAGCTGGAGAATGAAGACAGTGAAGTGGAGCAGTGGCTGTTTGAGGAAGTCCTTTCCTTATCCCTAGTAGGCACCAGGTACTTATGCCTATATACCCCGAATTTACAGCAGAGAAAAACAGGGTGAGAGAAGTTAAATAACGTGCCCAAGAGGACATTAGATGGCAGTGCTGGGTTCTGAACACAGGTCTATCCAACAACAAAGCCTACGTTCTCTCCACTCTGTGATTTTTTTTTTTTTTTTAAGATTTTTATTTGAGGGCGCCTGGGTGGCTCAGTTGGTTAAGCGACTGCCTTCGGCTCAGGTCATGATCCCAGAGTCCCGGGATCGAGTCCCACATCGGGCTCCCTGCTCAGCAGGGAGTCTGCTTCTCCCTCTGACCCTCTTCCCTCTCGTGCTCTCTCTCATTCTCTCTCTCTCAAATAAATAAAATCTTTAAAAAAAAAAAAGATTTTTATTTGAGACAGACAGTGAGAGAGCACGAGCCATGGGGAGGGGCAGAGGGAGAGGGAGAAACAGACTCTGTGGGGCTCCACCCCAGGACCCAGAGATCATGACCTGAGCCTAAGGCAGCCGCTTAACCAACTGAGCCACCCAGGCACCCCTCTACTCTGTCATCTTGATGTCATCTCTAAAGAAGGCAAACCTTGGAAATGGGAAAACCGAGTACACAAAGTGATCTTTTTCTGCTTGCTATTCCATACACAGGCACCCAAAGAAGATCACAGTGCTCCCCCAAGTAGCTAGAACTGCTATAAAGGTAATGAAAGGTAAATCACCTACTTTCTTCATGTTACTAGAGGACGGGTCATACAGAGGTTACAGAGACCACAAGGAGATCAGCGTAGACACAGGGTGGAGTACAGTACATCACACATTGGCCTCTGATCTCATTCAGCCACAGCAGCTAAGACCTCAGTTCACAAGTCAACACACATCATGTATATTCTCCCCAAAACATTTCTTCTTGCATGAGATTCATCTAACAAACCAAACATCGCCAGCTTCAGTGGGCATGCTAATCTGTATTGATTCTGATGCATCCAGTGCATTTATCTACTTACAGCCTGAGGCAGTCCCTTGTCCGCACCTATACCAGTGTTTCAGAGCTGTTCTCTTTTGGTCAGGTATTTCTAAATACATAACATTTCTCTGATGTATCATGGATTGAGGATAAGGGGGTCTTCAGGATTCAAATGTAGTTAAGCTATGGGTCTGGTGAAAAGGGCAGGCAAAGGAAGGGGAAAGATTTTGAAAAGTATATGTTTAGGTAATAATGAAGAAACACAAGGAAGGTTTCTTAAAAAAAAAAAAAAAAAGGAGGGGCACATGAGTGGTTGTCGGTTAAGCGTTCAACTCTTGATTTGGCTCGGGTCATGATCTCAGGGTCCTGAGATTGAGCCCTGAATCAGGCTCTGCACTCAGCGGGGAGTCTGCTTTTCTCCTTCTCCCTCTCCCTCTGCCCATCTCTTTCTCTCTCTCTCTCTCTCTCTCTCTCTCTGATAAATAAATAAATAAGTCTTCAGGGGAAAAAAAGGAAAAAGGAAAGAGATTATGCTATAAAAAAGAAAGGGAAGGAAAGACTGAACATAAGACCTGAATCTAGAGCCCAGGAGGTTCTTAGCAGTCATCTTGCACAACCTCCTCTTTAAACATAAGTGAGGAAACTGAAGACCGCTGTCAGAATACCATTTGCACAGTCATGTACTGTTAGCCAAGGATGCAACTCAATACAACTATGCTTTCAACTAAACCATGCCAAAGATGACACAGAAAAAAAAAGAGGAAAGCATAAAGCAAAGAATGGGCAGCCCCCTACCTACCCTGATCATCTTGGTCAATAGTTTCAGATGTGGATTTCTGAGTAAGTGACTGAACCCAGGCTGAGCCACAAGAGGGTGTCTTACACCCTGGGGTGTCTAAGATAATTTCTTCAACAAGACTCTAATAGATCTAGGCCAAAGGTAATTCCTTAGGTCTTTGGAAATGCAAATCAATCTTTGGATACAATTATGGAGGTGGAAAAGAAAGTAGAGATGAAATACTATCAACAGTGTTAACTGTACTATTTATTTTGGTTATAGCCCCCAATCCTTGCAGGATGGAACAGAGTATGAAATGAAGTTTATGATTCCTGAATTGAGTACCAACATTTCAAAAAGGGTCCCTTCAACCTAGTTGGCTGCAAAACCAACCCATCATCACCCTTGAAAAGTTCTCAAGGCACTAAGATTAACTGAAGAATAACTATAACTAACTGAAATGGTGGCTAGGAATGCTCACTTTGATAATCCAGACATTTCTAATGTCACTTGTTCATTTAACAGATATTTATTAAGCATCTAACACCAGGTACTGTTTTAGGAGCTAGAGATACAGCAGTGAGTAAAACAAACAAAAATCTCTGCCCAGAGGATCTTAGGATATAATTTCAGATTTCTTTTTTCTAAAAAAAAGGTTTTTTAAAGATTTTATTTGACAGAGAGAGAGAGAGAGAGAGCACAAGCAGGGGGAGCTGCAGGCAGAGGGAAAGGGAAAATCAGGCTCCCCACTGAGCAGGGAGCCCAATGCGGGGCTCAATTCCAGGACCCTGGGATCATGACCTGAGCTGAAGGCAGATTCTTGACTGACTAAGGCACCCAGGTGCCCCCTTTTAAAAAAAACTTTTTTTTAAGATTTTATTTATTTATTTGTCAGAGAGAAGGAGTGCACGCATGTGCACACACAAGCAGGGGGCAAGATTTCTTAAGCAATTATATTGCCTCTTTATTAGGAACTCTTTGCCCTAAGGAGCCATTACTGTGCTGAAGCTGCTGCTTCACTGGCTGAAGATAAGAGCCCTTGCCTCCTGCCCCTCTTCTTAACTCCAGGAGTATGAACATTATTGCATTAGCTCACCCCTTTCAGGGGCCCTTTCTGAAATGCTTGCTTAGATGCTAAGAATATTTCTTGATTATTGGTAAACCCTCCAGTGGCTGCTCTTCAAAGGGAAAGGTACTGGAAATACAAAGAGATGTAAAAAACTATAAAATAAGGGATACTATCAGAAAGTGATATAGGGGCTCCAGAAAGGGAGAATAATAACTAACCTTTATTAGGTTAAGCCATGAAAAGAAAAAAAAGGGTACTTCTGTCTAAATAACTTAATCTCTCAGATGAACCAAAAAATGCACAAAAGAATGCAAAGTTGCATTTGGACCAGTAATCTCTAAAATGGGACGGGCAAGATAATTTTCGGAGCGGTAGGAAAAAAGACTTATATTTTTAATCCATGAAATTACAGGAACTGCATTTTTATAATAGTAGAGTAATGTATGTATACTACTTATATTGCCTATATAACTTGAGTATAGTGAATATTTACATTTTCCCCGGTGGTATGAAAATTTGGAGACTACTGCTGTAAGCCACATCTTTATAAAACCTTTATAAAAGAAAAGTTGAATAATAGAAAAAAGGTAGATTTTGGAGTTAGGCCTAGATATAAATCCTAGCTTCCCAGAGTTTCAGTTTCCTCCTGTGTAAAATGGGACTAATGGTATTTATGGCTCAGGCCCATTTTGAGGGATGAATAAGATATATAGCATATATAGCATAGTGTCTGGCCTGTATACATATGCTCTGTGAATGCCAGTACTCAGCCCTGTAAGCCTACCAGAGCCATGAAATCCACAAGTACCCAACCAGTGCCTAACCACGATGAGGAGAGGCTCACTCATTCTCCTCCCACTGGCAGAAAACGAGATATTGTGTAAGGTTATCTTCACAAGAGCCAAGGGAGGAAGGAGCCAACATCTCTGGGCTCAGAGAGAGATCAGGTACTTATGGGTCCAGCGTTGTGTGAGGAGTCTCTATCACGATTCTGCCTGACACCACTGCTGCTGCTGACCAAACAGGTATGAGTGGGTGTTTTAAAAAATCCTTTTGCAAAATAAACCCAGGGTTAACTTCTCCCCTCACGTATCTCCTCATGAGCCATGAGAAGCACACATTACTACCAGGATTCCTCAACAGGGTCTACATCAGGATCTGTTCCGCACACTCAACAATTCAGACATAGTACCTGCTTGAGGCAGAAAGGACTCCCTTGTGTTTCAAGTCCAAAGAGGGGTCCCTGAAATCAATCTCAAAGATTTCCAATGTGCCATTTGTGCTAAAGGAGGCATCTAACTGCTGGGCAGATGTTCCTAGGCACAAGAAAAGTTAGAAAGAGGCAGCATATAAGCAAAAATACATGCATGGATTTGGGGTATAAATGGTTAGGAAGTGGAGAGGCAGAGGAACAGGAGAGGACTGGGTATACCCTTTTTCAAATGGTAACTCCAAAGAGAGCAAGAAAACAGGAGGTGCCCAGGCTTGAGCCACAGTTCAAGGCTGCCCCCAGGTACTCTAAACACCTAATGTCCCCTTGCTTATGCTGTGAGCAAACCCCACCTTTCCATGACTCTAAAGCTTTCTCTGAAGCTCAATAAAGAATTCTGGATACTAAGTCTCCCTTTGACCTACGTACTTTCAGCAGATCATAGTCCACAATATCATCATACCTGTGGCCAGATACACAGGGTACTGGCTGGCTGGGCTCCACGCTTGGACAGCTGGCCGTTCAAGTTCTTTTAGCTTCATGGCCGGTCCTGTGTGTGGCAGAAAACTGACATGGCCCTCAGCCTACTGAAAACAGAAACCTGCAAACTTAAAGAGTCAGATCCAGGGAGTACCTACAGACATGAGATCCTGTTTCTGTCCTTCCACCATGGAATGGGGATTTCAGGGCAATAGGAGGTAACATACACATAACCATCTGTAGATCTGCAAGGACAGTTCACTTACCTAATTACTGAAATCTAATGTTTTAATCCCAAAAAGATATCCAAACACAGTGGTTGCCACAGGCCCAATGGTGATGATAATCATCAGATCAGGTAATATCTCAGTGACCTCATCTATTCCTTTGGCTTTACATATCATCCATATGCTGATGACCCCCAAGTTCATACCACCAACACAAATTTCTCCTCTGAGCTCCAAGTTCTTATGTATAACTTGCTAATCAAATATTTCCATTTGGATATAGCAAAGATACCTAAGTTAGTCTGTCTAAAACAGAATTCTCTATTCCACCATCTCCTCCCCCCAAATCTGTTCTTCCTCCAGTTTTCTTCATCTCAGTAAATGGTACCACTATCCATCCAATTGCTCAACCAGAAAACCTGAAAATCACCCTTGATTCCTTTCTCCCTTATTCCCTTCTAATTCATCATTAAGTCTTTCTGATTTCACCTCCAAAATTATATCTTAATCTGTTTACTTTTCTCCGTCTCCACCACCACCACACTCTTTGAAGATACCATCATCTCTCACCTGGATTACTGCAATAATCTTCCAGCCGGTCATCTTTACCCTACCATAACCCAATTAACTCTCTACACAGAAGCAAAAGTGAACTTTTAAAATCAAAAATAGGATTTTTGGCACTCCATGCTTAAAATCTTCCAATGACATCTATTGCACTCAGAATAAAATTGCTAGTGACCCTCAGCCTACGACTTCAACCTCATCTCTTGCTACTTTCCCCTCTTATTCATTGTGCTACAGCCACATTAGCCTTTTCTCGTTTCCTGGCTTTTTACTACCTCAGAGCTTTTGTAAATTCTGTTTCCTATACTTTGAACGTCCTTCCTTTCATTCTCTGCATAACTGGCTCCTTATCACATCTTTCTGGGCTCAGCTTCTCACCCCCTCACAGAGGTGAGCCACCCAGTGAAAATCAGACTCAATCTTTTTCTCCTTGGTACCTCATTTGTTGAATGAAGGTAGACATCCATTTTAATTCTGTGGTTTCCAATCCAGTTCTAACGCATATTCAAGGTGCCATCCCAACAGGCTAGCAAAGTGGCAGGAAAGTGTTTTGTCTGTTTGTTTTTAAGGTAACACTGAACTTGAGGGAGTAGACTTGGGACCTGCTGTGACCTGCTTAAGGAAGCCACCGTCAGGTTTGTCTCAACCTAGAAAATAGCAGGTAGTATTACTCAATCACTAATGTACTTTCCAGCCTGAAGAAAGTTTAAGGCTGCCAATTCAGCCAAGATTCTCAGGGGGTCTCTAAACATTTGAGGCAACATCAATTACGTACGGACTTGCTGCACAACATATTACATAGTCACCACTGCCACCTGCTGGTCAAAGCCATTTTCACGTTTCTGGGGAAAGCCCTTAATGAAATTAGGAGCTGTGTTTAGCACTGCTCATTTAACGTGCAAATCTCAATTCTCACAATGGTTCTATGTGGCAAGTCCTGTTATTATCCCCATTTTACGGGGAAGAAAACTGGCTGGGCCGAGATGTGAACCCCAATCAGCCCCCATAGCCCAGTGCTTTTAACCATTATACTAGTTCAAACTAAACTCAATTCCACATGAGGTGTTAAATGCCCGACGGTCTAGAAACTGGGAAGATGGGCTTTTAATCTACATTCAACCAAGAACCGAACAGACTCCTGCAGTGACGGACGGCGGCAGCGACGCTCGGCAGCCCCGGCCCCTTGGGGTAGCACAGCTTCCCGCCAGACCTGGCCAGGCTCGGGCCCGGAGCGTAGGGGAAGGCGCTAGGGAAGCGCTCCAGGGAGACCCTCGTCGGGCCGCAGCACCCCCGCGCGGCCGGGAGAGCGGAGCCGGGTCCAGCCCGAGAGCGGGCGTGGTGGGGCCCTGAGAGGCGCGGGCCGGGCTCTCCGCTGGGGGCGAGCTCCCCACCCCCGACTCTCTCCCGAGGGAGCAGCAGCACTCCCGGCCGCCCCCCAGAGAGGTGGGGAAGACCCACCTGCTCCGGGAGCCAGGTCAGGGTAGCGCGGCGCAGCCACAGCCGATATCCTCAGGGGGCCTTTCGGCTCAACTGGGCGTTGCGGACGGCGGCTGCCGAAGGCCAAAAGTAGTCCTCGCAGGGCACCGCGTGCGCGGAGCTCGGGGTAGAGAAGCCGGCCGACCAGCGAAGGATCTAATAGGATTCTCGCTTTTACTCCGGGCTCCCTCACCTGTCCTGTGATTGCGCATTTCTACCATGTGGGTCAGATCCTGCGACTACTAAGTCCTGGCCTATTCAACTTGAGCGAGGCTCCGGGAACAGCCCCCGCGAAAAGGGAAAATACTAATTCATTATTTGTTGACGTGTAGAAGACCTGGTACTAGCTAGCTCCAGAAGCTCTCAGTGGAATCCTAATTGAAAAGGTAAATAGCAACTGAGGCCGTAAATAACGGCAACACACTACACCCCAGCAACAACTGGTGGCCAAAAGCTGTTGGCTGAACTAATTAAAAGGTATAGGCGTGCAGGGGACTAGGTATTGTAGACCAGGAGCTTCCTGGGGCGTTTCAGGGACAGGAGATATGGGCGTCATACTTTGCAGCGGCAAAATAGGTGATGTCTCAGAAGGAAGGGCCCAACTGCCTAGTAGGCCCCCTTGGCATTTCCCATACCATGAATTAAAGAGGCCGGATACAAATTGGGAATACCAGTTCAACTCTGCAGGTAATTGGGAGTTAGTGAAAATTATGAGTAGGGATGCAATAAGATGAAGATTGTATCTTGAGATAATATGGATTCCCTTGGAGCTGGAGGCAGGGACTCAAATTAGGAGACTAAGAATAGTCCAGGTCCCAGGTGATGAGAGCCTGGATTAATATAGTGGCAGTGACTGTAAAGGAAAACTGGACAGGCTCTTGTGACTGATGAAGGTAAACAGTTGAAGGGGGAGGTGAAAAAATCAGATGGATTTTATTATGTTGACTGAGGGAATTATGGCATTTCCAAACAATGTTCTGTCAGCAGCTGAAGATCTTAGACCTGTTATCTGAGATTCAGAACTTTGGTTTAATGCATAAGTTCCACCGTGGTTTTGCCAGTTGCACCTTCAAAGACAGTGAATTGGTTCAGGTATTTTATGATGGAGCCCCGAATCATTGTGACACAAGTCTAGATTTCCTTTTCATGTGGACTAGAGGGTTTTGAAGTCAGGACAGAAGACAATTTAGGGCATTGCTGCGCCTGCCCACTCTGTGTACTAAGTACTCAACAAGCATTTCTTGAGCATCTTAGCACAACAGTGGATGAGACCTGAAGGCAAGTAAACAGGGTGGAAAACTGAACCTTAGACTATATCTCAAATTAGGGAATGAGGCAGAAATGTCACTGATGGGAGTGTTCTGAAAGAAATTTGAACCCAAAGCATAAGGTCACAGTTTTAAGCAGGACAGAATTAAAAAAATAAAAAGTACAGGGGTGCCTGGGTGCCTCAGTCAGTTAAGCCTCCCTCAGGTCATCATCTCAGGGAACCCCATGTCCGGCTCCACACTGGGCGTGGAACTTCCTTAAGATTCTCTCTCTCCTTCTCCCTCTGCACCCCCCCGAAATAAATATTTAAACAAATTAAAAGTAGGGGTGCCTGGGTGGCTTAGTCGGTTAAGTTCTGCCTTCGGCTCAGGTCATGACCCCAGAGGGCTAGGATCGAGTCCTGCATCGGGCTCCTTGCTTGGCAGGGAGCCTTTTTCTCCTCCCTCCCTCTCTGTGACAAAAAAAAAGAAAAAAATCTAAAAAAAAATTAAAAGTATACTCTTCTCTCTCAGCTCACACATCTCTTAATTCTTTCACTTTGTTTTGTAACTGCCAGTCTCAGCTTCTAGGTAAGTACTTGAAGGCAAGTATTGTGTCCTTTCCAATTTTATATCCCCAGGACCTATTAGTATCTGATATATAGATACATAGATGTTTGTTTGTTAAATATATTAAGTATATTATCAAATGTGACAGAGGACAGGGAATGAAGACAGATAAAAAGCCAGTGGAGACACTGAAGTAGAGGCATTTTAGTGTCCGTACCCACCCCCTGATCTCATAAAAGTCCCTTTCAGTGCCTGGACAAAAACTAACTTGGATGGACTTGCTTTCATGGATCATACTGAATGCGTGCTTTTTTTATGGGACAGGTTTTCAGGCAGCATGACTGTTTAGGAAAATGTCCCCAAAGGGACAAAAAGAAAATGAGTTGGTTCACTTAACAGATGCACTGAGATAGACCCTCAAAAACAGGAGCAGAAGCCATGCACAGGTTCAGAGTAACTCACTGGACAGTCCTCTAATTCATAAATGCAGGATTCAGAAGTTGCTTTGGAACAAGGAATACACACTCTTACAACAGAAATAACATTATAGTCACAGCCCCAGGTGAATCCAAAAACAACTATATATCCTGGAATATACTTAAAACGTGTTAAAATACAGTTTTTTAAAAAACTAGCCACTATAAAAAAATTTTTTTATGGGAAATACTTTTTGTTCTGACTTGGGAAGTCAGGAACGTATCTTCCTTCTTCTTCAACCCTGTAAACAGGAAAAGGAGCTACCGTTACCACCTGCTGCCAACTAGAATACCTTCACGGTCCCAGCAAAATTAACAAATTACCATTTTTTGTGCTAACCCCCACCTCCTGCCTTTCTAATTGCAGAGGGGCTGGGGGATGGGAATGGACAGCAGACCAAAAAAAAAAAAAAAAGTAAAAGGATGAGCTTCTCACGGCAGTGGCTACTCCCGGGGAAATGAGGCACAGACATCACAGCACTGTTTTATTAGGGACTTCGTAAGGTTAAAGCTCTAGAAATGAGGGAGTCAGTTCAGGGGCACAAAGCTGATGAAGCCACCTCAGATCTCATAATGAACCACTGGCTCAGGCTCTTTGGTGGGATCGCCGCCTCGTTCCAGGTACAGATTATTATAAGGATACTGCTTTGGCCCCTAAGGAAAAAACACAGGTCAGCAGGATAGCATACATCCCAGCCAATACCTGGCTATACCCCACTCTGAGTTAACAATCATACATGGTAAATGGATACGAGGTAGCGTCTGGTCGGATCCAGCTGGGCTAGAACAGCAGGAACAGCACTCCTCTTCCCTAATCAGCTCAAGGCAGAGAGAAAACCTAGATTGTAAGAGAAGTGGTGCCTACACCATGTGTGTGTGTGCGCAAGTGTGTGAGAGAGTGAGTGAGAGAGAGAGAGAAAAGGGAGGGAGCTTTCTAAATGAGACGATGCATCCATCCATCCCACTCTCTCCTGGGGTCGAGACAGACTCAATCTCCTTTAAGTCACTCAGCCTCTAATGGTTCCACCACTAAAGTGGCCTAGCAAATGAGGCGTGCAGGAGCAGCAGTGGGGGAAAGCACAGAGGAGACACGGCTGGGACGTGCTTTAGGGGCTGCTAGCTTTACCAACAAACAGCTGTCAGAGAACACAGCTCAAGGGGAGGAGAAAAGGGTGATGTGCTTACAGAACTGAAAAATGGAAGAGCCACACTGTGTTTCTTGCTCTCCTGAAGTGAAGTTAGTGCTCACACCAGCCCTACGTGCACTCTCCAGCCTGCAGCCCCTGGGGCTTGGTAGGAAGGCTCGTGTCAGTGCACACAGACGTACCAGCTACCATCAGGACATTGATTATCTCTGCAGAGGTAGCACTGAGCAGCCAACTGCAAACATGACAGTCTTCCTGCTTTCAGTTCCTTCCCGTACAATCTACTCTGTAGACTACTCCCAGATTAATCATACTAAAATCCTAACCTTCATTATGTCATTTCTGTTCAAAAACTCAACATAGTTCCTTGCTGCCTAGAGGTAGACCAAGTCATCACTGGATCCCCAACCCCTAGCACAATCTGTATCTGGTACTTAGTAGGGTCTTCAAAAATATTTGAATTAATGTCTTACTACACCGCTGAGTGCAAATCCCTAACTACACAATGAAAGCATCCCAACCTAAATGACCAACTCACCTCACATTTTTTAACATGGCAGTTTCCACACCTAATTTCCCAGAACATGAGAATTAACTGGAAACTTGTTAAATACTGATTCTAGAACCCCACCATGGAGCTACTGAACCAAGAATCTGAATTTTTAGCAGCTCTCTAGGTAACCAATACAGCTGGTTATCTAGGACTATTTTATATGCCTATTCCATTTCAGCTGACTAACTCTCCTTTTCCTTCCTTCATTCTATTTTTCTTGCCCCAAATGTTCTCTCCAACTTCTGCCCACCATCAAAAGTCTATACATATTTTTAGTATCTAGCATGATCCTTCTTTTTAACAGGACCTCATACCCCTTAACACATAGGTTCACTACAAACATAAGGACACTAAAACTGCCACATTCCTATATCTCTGTTCAAATGTTGCTCATCCTGTCATTTTCTACATCTTTTTCTTACCCATATCAAACTTCCTTAAAGCTAGACAGTATATTTTCCATGTCTTTTATGCTCTCCAAGATAAAACTGTTGTGCTCATAGTAAACAATTGCTTCCAGTACCTTATAGAAGCTAGTGCCCTTCACACCTCCAGCAAAGAATAAGGTTGCAGCTCTAGATTAGTTGACTCCACCTTCAAAGATCACTTGCTAAAATATAATTGGTAAGTATAGTCCCCAAATGGCAACTCTAGAAGACTAGTTGACTTACACATTCTCATTTCTCATCTAGTCCTGAACTGTTTCTTCTCACTCAGACTGACCCAAGAAGTAGGCGAGGAGCAGTTCTCTGAGACTTGTGCTAGGTCAATGGGTAAGGCCTTCTATAGGCCTTAACAGGAAGCCAAGCTTGGTATTGGCTGGATCCCTACTCCACAGACTTCATTCCCTCAGGAAACAGCACTAAGTAAATATGCCTACCAGAGCACTTCTCAGATACTCACCACAGGCTGGTAGGTGGGGTAAGTTTCCCCGACCCAAAACATGAACAGCATGAAGGCCACGAAGCCAAAGAGGTGCTTACACATGATATTCCAGGAAACAGGCGTGGGGGATGTGTCCACACGGTTCCTGATATACATGTCAAGGTCCCAGTGCATCTGAGGCAGAAAAACAGTTAAATGCAACATTCTGCTCTTCCTGCAAAAGGCAGGCAGTCTGCAAAAGGGTGATCAGAGCCTGATAAAAGGTTCAATAAAGGCATTCTACTGCCCTGGGGCAATATTCTGCGAGTCAAGTGTGAGCTACTCTACCACATAGGACTAGGTGCTGGCTTAGGTCTAGGTTCTGCTGACCAAGGACAGTTCAAGCATGGAAGTGCACAATTTTCAAAGTACAGAGCTCTGATTATATGCAGAAGTCTCATCCCATGTGCCACACATGGGACCTCAGATCTCAGATCACTGGGTCTTGCTTCCCTGGGCAGAAAACCTTAATGTTGCTTAGACAGCAAAGTGCCATTTAAGCTAAATAAAGAATCCTCATGAAGATATTAACAAGAAGGAAGAAAGGTCAAATGGGACATGGATCTCTCACCGGTTCACCCCAGTTCAACCTCAGGTCTGAGTGGTCCCAGTTATACCACGGATCCCTCTCCTGCTGTGAGCGGTCAGGGAGCTTCGGGTAGTCGCCATACCTGAGAGACAGAAAAACTTCTGGAAGGGGCTTTGAGCCACATCACTCAGGCAATTCAAAGTCCCCTCATGTTAAGAGATGAGAAACCAAGTGACAGATAACGGCCTCCCCTAAGGACAGAGAAACCCATTTTCAAATTAAGATCTCAATTTACAGTCACTAAGCACAGAACGAATCACAGAAGTCCAAAATGTAAATAAAAGATGTCAAACTCTGAAACATTATAATATACATTATAACATACATGCTTTTCTTACTTTTTTCCAACAACAAAAATCATGCAATGTTATAATGTTAGAGCTGGAAGGGAATTTAGCAATCAATCACTCTGATTCCCTCATTAGACGGAAAATGAAACTGAAGTTTAGTTTGAACCCCAGGTCACCCAGCTAATTGGAATACAAACAAAAAGGGTTCAGATTAGAAAAGCATTCTCTTCATAGCAACTGTGCTCCCAACCACCAAGTTAGCATACATCTCCATGTCTCAAACACCTCATGGGACTTCCTGCTAAGCTGGGTTTTCCCTAACAAATCCAGTTTCAACTTTTACAGACTGCTACCAAGGCTACTCTTGTCCACAACAAAGAGACATAGGAAATGATGACAACTAGTTATGTGTCACAGAAAATGACTGGAAAACAACAAGAAAAATAAGAGCTGCTAAAACGACTACTGAAAGAGTATGCTAGGAAAGAAAATGAGGGTGACCATAATCACTTCAGATAATTAACCACAGGGGTGTTATGTAAAGGGGGGGATGGATAACATCAACTGGAGTAGGGAAGTTGGCTGTTTAATCTGTTTGACAGTTACTACAACTTCCACAGCCCTAATAGCAAAAATATTTTTTAAAAGAAAGCTATACATACGAATACAGAGTACTCCATCTACAAATAAGGCTCTCAAGACAGGAGCCCAGCTCCAGCCTGATCACGTGCCTGAATGACAGCACCTGAGCCCAGCAGATGCTCAATCTAAATGAAACCTCGCACTCTGGCTGAAGCCAAGCAAAGTTCCTGCTATTCAGGGGTCCTCAAGGGAGCTATTAAAATCTCGGCTTCCTCATTTGAAGAAATAGCCTGAGCCAAGGAGAAAATTGAAGTCCTCTAGGCTGCAGCTGCTCACCCATCACCTCCCACCTCTCTCCACCGAGAAAGGCACCCACACCATTGACTCTGAGGGGTCACGAGAAGGTTCAGGGAAAATGGTCAGAGTCGAGCCACCCAACCCAGCTGGCCATCTCCCATCACTGCCCGGCTGCGAGCAAACTCTGCTGCATCTCACCCCATGCCATCATCCGGGTACGGTTGGTAGTCTTCTATCCGCATATTGTATTTCTTGGCGGCGGCTGCCCGTTCTTCCGGGGTTTTGGGATAGGGCCCCGGGAGCATCTCCTTCGTAATGTGCGAAGCTGGAGAGCAAAAGAGGGCGGGTCAGAAAAGACCCTGTTCCTCCTGCTGCCCCGAAGGCTTCAAGCTGCGGTGGCTGCGGTGGCCCAGGCTGCAAGGGACCAGGGCGACCCGCCCCCCCCCCTCCTGGGGACACTAAATTCCCCCGCCCCCCCCCCCCCCCCGCTCCCCCGCCAACCCTCGACACACCAAACCTCAGGCATCCCCACACTCAGGCCTCGCCCGTTCTCGCGGACCTGTCCGTGCACCCAACGGCACCACGGTCCGGGTTGCCCTTTGCAGCCATCGCACTCCCAGGACCCGCACCCTCGCCGTCGCCATCTTCACCTTCCTCCCAGTTGACCCTGCACATGCGCAAAGGCCTTGTCACGGCGGCTGAGCCGGGCCAAACGCGACAAGGGAAGCCGGTAGCCAAGGAAAGTCTTTAGGCTCCAACAAGGGCGGGGCTTAAACCGTGTTGAGAAGCCACAGGGAAGATGAGAGGTTGGACAGAGGCAGAGAGGGAAAGTGGAAAGGAGAGAAAAGCGAGCAGGTCATTATTTGACATTTCATACTGTTGTGTCCCTTTCTCCGTCAGCTGACTTAGACACTTCCAGGGATAATGGGGACACAGAACCTGAGCATCTCAGGTGGACAGCTAACTTACCTCCCCCAGGTGCAGTACATGTCAAATGAGCCTGTCTTAATGTCTTCTTTGACTGCCTGCCTTTTTCCTCTCCCTCACTGGCACTTCCTCCTTTCATCCCCAAACGTGATCATTCTTCAAATTCAGCCCTTGGTCTTCCTTGCTCTTGTTCTATTCTGCAAATTGATCTCCTTCACATAGAGGAATCGATGCAACACACAAATCGCCCCAAATTCGCTCCTCAGTTTTACTCCGTATTTATATTTGAATGTCCCAGTCACCTCAATCCAACAAATGTAAAACCAATCCTAGCACCTTAAGCAGCTCTTCCCAGACTGGCTATAGCCTCAGATTGGCTAGGACTTGTAAAGATTTCAAGCCTGACCACAGTTAACAAACACTAGCTTAAAGAAGAATGGGGGATATTATCATGTTTGCATATGAATATGTTTTCACTTTTACACAAACAGGATTTGTATAATTTAAACAATATAAATGTACACGTATTTCTAGCAACTTTTAGGGTGATGACTGTTTTGGTGCAGAATCCATTATTACAGACATTCTCAAATATATATTAGAGCAATAAAGATTATATATACTACTTGGCATATAAATTTGGGGGAGGATTACTTCACAGCAATTTGCCCTCTTGTAAATAAGCATCACTAGTTGATGTTCAAAATAATTGTACAATATCTGCATTCAATCAAGCCCTGATCAAATTTGGGTTAAGAAACTGTTTTCTAATTTATTTACTATTATCAAGATATAATTCACATACAATAAAATTCATACCTTTAAATTGTACAATAAAGTGATGTTTAGTATATTTACAAAGTTGTGCAACTATCTCCACTGATTCTAAATTGTTTTCATTACCCTTACCCCTAGACCCTGGCAATCACTAATCTACTGTCTGTATGGATTTGCCTATTTTGGACATTTTATATAAACGGAATCATGCAATATGTAACATTTTGTGTCTGACTTACTTCACTTGGCATAATATTTTTAAGGTTTGTCCATGTTGTAGCATGTGTCAGTTCTTCATTCCCTTTGATGGCCAAATAATATTCCGTTATATTGATATACAACTTTTTGTTTATACACTCATCAGTTGATAGACATTTGGGTTATTTCCACTTTGGGGCTATTATAATTAGTGCTGCTGTGACCGTTCTTGTACAACTTTTTGTGTGGATGTATGTTTTCAATTCTCTTCAGTATATACCTAGCAGTAGAATAGCTGGAGAAGGAAAGGGAAGGAAGGAAGGAAGGAGGGAGGGAGGGAGGGAGGGAGGAAGGAAGGAAGGAAGGAAGGAAGGAAGGAAGGAAGGAAGGAAGGAGGGAGGGAGGGAGGAAGGGAAGGAAGGAAGGAAGGAAGGAAGGAAGGAAGGAAAAAGAAAGAATTGCTGGATCATAGGATAACTCTGTTTAACTTTCTGTAGAACTATAAAACTGTTTTTCAAAAAGCTGCACCAATTTATCTTCCCATTGGCAGCATATGAGGGTTCCAATTTTTCCACATTCGAGTGGCTGTGAATGGTATCTCATTGTGGTTTTGATTTGCATTACCCTGATGGCTAAAGATGTTGAGCATCTTTTCATGTGCTTATTGACCATGGTATATCTTCTTTGGAGAAATGTCTACTCAAGTCTTTCATCCATTTCTTTTTTTTTTTTCCATTTTTTTCAACCATTTCTTAATTGGGTTGCCTTTTTATGCTTAGTTGTAAGAATTCTTTATATATTCTAGATACAAGTCACTTATCAGCTGTGTACTTTGTAAATATTTTCTCCCATTCTATGGATTTTATCTTTTGTCTAGGCCTTCAGAGCAACCTTTGCCCACCATCTATCAATCTGACAATTGCTTTTCCTTCTGATTTCTTAGGTAGGTCAAGAGTTTACTTCTCTCCCCATCCATGACTGTAAAGTTTAATGCCTCGCTAAACTGGCCTCCTTTTCCGCTTCTTGTGTAGGCCTGGGCACACTGACGCAGCAATAATATTTGGTGTATTGGTTAACCAGGTGATCAGTGGGTTTAACCTCTGCGCCCCAAAACTTCATGGGCCGAGCTTAGGGTGTAAAGCTGTAGGTCACCATTAGGAGGAGCTCCCCCACGCCCCGGTTCCGCGTTCTTTGTGTCTCTGGACCGCTCTCGCGCGCAGTCCATCTCTATGGTTTCCGTTGTGTTTTATCCGGAATAGGCGCGGCTTCCGGTTCCGGTGGGGCCGTCTGTAGCGACGGAGATGGCGGCGACAGTGACGGAGGCTGCGGCCTCGAGCTCTGGAGAACCCCGAGAAGAGTCCGAAGCGCCCAGCCTCGCCTGGGATGAGTCCCAACTGCGTAGTTATAGCTTCCCGACCCGGCCCATCCCGCGTCTGAGTCAGAGCGACCCCCGGGCGGAGGAGCTTATCGAGAATGAGGTAGGAGGCGGGGCCCTGTCCGAAGGGGGAGGGGGAAGGGACCAGCTTGAGAGGAGAGGTCAAAGGCGAATGGTGGTACAAGTGGGGGACTGGCAGGGCTGTGGACTAGGGCCTGCGGGAGGATGGAGAGGGGGGCGAGGAGAAATGGAACTTAAGGAGTTCGTGCTTGTTCACAGGAGAAAGTATCCAGAAGTAGGGAAGTTGTTAGAGTCATGAGACAAGAATCCACCAGGTCCTTGGGACGACTTCATTTGTTTTTTTCACTTGTTTTCACTTAGGAGCCTGTGGTGCTGACAGACACAAATCTTGTGTATCCTGCCCTGAAATGGGACCTTGAATACCTGCAGGAGAACATTGGGAATGGAGACTTCTCTGTGTACAGTGCCAGCACCCACAAGTTCTTGTACTATGATGAGAAGAAAATGGCTAATTTCCAGAACTTTAAGCCCAGGTCCAACAGGGAGGAAATGAAATTTCATGAGTTTGTTGAGAAACTGCAGGATATACAGCAGCAAGGAGGAGAAGAGAGGTAAGTTCCCAGATCGTGGCTTCGCACTGAATCTAGGGCATCCATTTTCTTTTCTTGTAATTGAGCATATGGAGGAGTTGGACGAGTTCTGTAGCTTGAGAGATGAGAGAATGATTAGACTTGAATTGTGACACTGTAGTTCTTTGTTGTCTTCACAAAGGGACAGTCACAGTTGCCTAGAAGGGTCAGGTAGGTGAACAAAACGAGGGAAGTTGTTTGGGTGAAAACTAGAGTGAAGCTGAAAGCGTATGCCCTATTCAAAGTGAGAAGTCATTCCTTGATTCTTGTTTCCATTTAGGAGTGCAGTCCCAGGGTTGCTAGATACTCTCATTTTCGAGAGAAGCCAGAAATTAGGATTTTTACTTAACATTTTTTTGACTTTTAAATGGAGACAGCTAATTCAAATTTTTAGAAATGCTGCAAGGTACCAAACAAAACCGACTGTCATTGGATTTAGCCCTGAGATTGCCAGTTTGCACCCTGTGTCCTAAAATGTTAGGCTGGCTTGGGACAATTAAAACTAAAAAGTTTTATAGATTGTTATGATTCTGGGGTGAAGGATGTCAGGGTCCTCTAGATTAGGGGAGATCAGATTCAGTTGATAATGGATTTCCACATTGTACTAGAGATAGCAAACACAGGACACACTCAGATGTGACTCTTCCTCTGTGCTTTTATCCTTATATGTGAAGACAGCCTCTTCGGTAGGTCCCAGACAGCATTCAGTTCCTCACTGTAACGTTGCTTCTGGGGAATTGCTTTCACTGAGTACTTCATGGTGAATCACCATCTGCCTCTCACATTTGGTGCCCAACCCTGGCCTTCTCTTTAGTCTCCTACCTCAGTTCTTTCTCTGACTCTTAGCAGCATATGGCTGAATGAATGGATTTAGAATATATTTTTTGTGTTTGTGTTTCTTACTGAAACTTAGCCCTTATCATAGTGCTAGAACTTTGACCAAAAAGAGTTTCCAGGGTCTCAACTGTGATTGATCAGTTCTTTATGTCTTCCAAAGACTGACGTAAGTCATCTTCTGCTTAAGTTTCCTCAAATTTAACATAGCATATACATGTGTATGCACACGTCCACACATCCCCAATGTTAAGAGAGAGAAGTCAATTTAAATGGTGCTGGTGGAATGTAATTCCACTGCATGAACATTTGCGCTGGAAGGAGCATGAGATAAGACACAGGAGTCCTGTTTCCTCAATCACTTTAAGTTTCTTACCTCCCATAGGGAGAGCAGTTTGCCTCACTAAGTACAAGCTATGAGTGTAGTCTTTATGAGTGATTCAAGGAAAATTTTTTTTCTATGCACAGGTTTTGCCCTACCAGCTTACTTTACCACCAACCAATTCCACTTTGGAATTGTACGGGTTGTTAGGATTCAGGGAATTCTATGATTGCTCTTTGAGCTCTTTTGACCATTTACTGTTCAGATGTAATAGGATTTGTTTGGATTCATGTTTGGTGAGTGTTCTGCCTCTTTCAAAGTTACTTGGCAAAATTTTTGTATGAATATTTTATAATTTCTGGGGAGAGTCCAAAGGTTGCATTTGAGTCCTGAGGGTTCCTTGTCCCCCAAAAGGTAGCTAGTGTTTACAACTTAAAAGATTTCTAGTTAATATTGCCTTAAACATCCTGATTCTAGGCACTGAGATACCTTTGAGTCGTTTGAAGTAACGTTCTTGGGACTAGAACAGGGCTGCTTTTGTGTTTTGTCTTCATGTTTTCCCCTTTATTAATGTCCCTTATGGGACTTGAGCGGGTTTTCACATCCCTTAATTAATTTCCGATCTTCTTCGGTGTATTAGGAGCGCTGGGTCTGCAGAAAGCCTGATGAGGCTTTCAGTTGTAGAAGGCTGCTACAGAGAGGTGGCTGAGTTAGTTAAGATAAACTAGGTTTCAAGCCAGAGGCAGTGGCTTGAAACAACAAAGTTTTATTTAGGTTTATAACAACAACAGTCATGCTGCGTGTCTGTCATAGGTCACATGGAGGCTCTGCTGTTAAAGTCATCTTTTTCATTTTGGGACCCAGCAGCTACTATCTGAAACCTTGCAGTTGATTAGCAGAGGGAAAGAGATGTGGTGGTAGTGAGTACTGTTTCTTCAAATTACAGTTTGGACGCAACACAAGTCATTTTTGTGGACATACCTGGTCAAAGTAAGTTAAATAAGCAAGTTTGGCTTCAAGGGGATACAGGAGAATTAACTCTCCCACAGGGAAGAAACTAGATCTTGGTGAACAGTAATATGATCTATCATAACGGCCATCGAGGGCCAAAGAGGATGTCTGAGGCTCTGAAAGTCTCTAGAGAAAGGCTGATTAATCATTTTAGACTCTGAATAGGTGTTGAGGAATCTATGAAATTGTATGAAATTTCTGTGTTTATGTACATTTTTTATGGAAGCGTTCCTTGGATTCTTAGATTTATGCTGTGACCCAGAAAAGGTCAAGAATCACTTCTTTTAGGGGCGCCTGGCTGGCTCAGTTGGTGAGAGCATGCAACTCTTGATCTCAGGGTTGTGAGTTCAAACCTCACATTGGGTATAGCGTTTACGTTTAAAAAAAAAAAAGAATCTTTTCTTTAAAATAGCAAGTTTGGTGTTGAACAGAGCTCAAAGAAGGACAGGCAAGGATTCAGTTCTGTGAGAATCTATCTTGGTTAAGATTTGCATGGCTGCAGCTGGTCTCTGTGGGAGGTGCTGTTGTGGATTTGGATTTCCAGATGTGGGGAGGCCATGACAAGGGACTGTGTATGTGCACTAATGGGATTTTATTCTCGGGGAACATAGGTTGTATCTGCAGCAAACACTCAATGACACCGTGGGCAGGAAGATTGTCATGGACTTCTTGGGTTTTAACTGGAACTGGATTAATAAGCAACAGGGAAAGCGTGGCTGGGGACAGCTGACATCCAACCTGCTGCTCATCGGCATGGAAGGTAAGAAATCTTTCAGAAAGCAGCATAGCTTGGAGTCATACAAACCTAATTTCCAGGCTTGTCTTCACCACTCATTTGCTTTATGACTTTGGAACGAGTCACTTAACTTTTTTAAACCTCAGCCTTCTCTTCTGTGAAAGGAATATGATAATATCTTATAAATAGCTATGAAGATTAAACGAGATAATGTACATAAAGTGATTAAGCTAGTTTCATGCACTCTAAAAAGAGAGTTTTCTTTTCCCTTCCTCAGTTGCAGCATGAGCGTGTATACTTGGGTATTAGGGATCTTCCTGAGATACTGTTCTATCTATTGGATCTCTCTGTATTCAGGGAGACTTTTTTTCCAGTAGAAGAGGAAAGCTTATTTTTTTCGGTATAAATGGAGCCTTATCTTTTGAATGTTAATATATTTATGGAGTTAAATTCAAAAGGTAGAAACAGGTGTGTAATGATAAACCTCTCTTCCAGTCCTATTTCCCAACTTTCCGATACCCCTCCCTGGAGGCACCACGTGTTATTAGTTGCTTGTGTATCCTGCTAGAGGATTTTATGCATACACAAGCAAATATGTGAATATGTTCATTCTTTCTTTTTTCATTTGAATGAGAGGCGAGGCTTTTTTTTTTTTTAAGATTTTATTTATTTATTTGACAGAGACAGCGAGAGCAGGAACACAAGCAGGGGGAGTGGGAGAGGGAGAAGCAGGCTTCCCGCCGAGCAGGGAGCCCAATGCGGGACTCGATCCCAGGACCCTGGGATCATGACCTGAGCGGAAGGCAGACGCTTAACCGACTGAGCCACCCAGGTGCCCGAGAGGAGAGGCCTTTGAATTCCAGTCAAAAGGAGGAGAGCTGCTTACTAACCAGGGTCATTGTCTCATTCTTCTTCTTTTTTTTTTTTTTTTAAGATTTTATTTATTTATTTGACAGAGAGAGACACAGCAAGAGAGGGAACACAAGCAGGGGGAGTGGGAGAGGGAGAAGCAGGCTTCCCGCGGAGCAGGGAGCCTGATGCAGGGCTCGATCCCAGGACCCTGGGATCATGACCTGAGCCGAAGGCGGTCGCTTAACCCACTGAGCCACGCAGGCGCCCCTCATTCTTGTTTTTATTTGTGGCACTAGCTCAAGGCCAGGCCCATAGTAGGTACTTAGTAAATAGTGAATAAATTAGATCAAGCAAGGAAGCAGAGTAGTGGTCTCTTCTCCTTTTATTGTCCTTTCTTCAGTTTTGGATCCTTTGCTGCAAGTATTAATAAAGATTTCTAGCAGTGCAGTTTATGGATTGCACCCCTAACCTGCCCCTTTGAAACCAGCTCTTGATTAACCTGCCAGGAGCTAGTTCCGACCTACTTAGCTATAAGTTCTTCTGTTGACTTCTGTCCTTCTGTAGAGTGCACAGAAGCAGATCCCTCAGGTAGAGATGAGAGAGCAAATCTCCTTTGAGGATGCACATGGACTCAGCATTAAAGAAGGCGGCTGTCTTGGCCCACTCAGGCCGACCCAGGGAATGTTTTCTGAACTCCGTGCCCTACAGAAGGGCCCCTTAGCTCTCAGGGATTGTGCAAAGGATAAACAACAGATGAGGTCCCAGTTATAAAGAGTAGATGGAGCACACATATACTAGGGCAGAACTACTTCAAGTTGGCATTTTAAATAATTCGCCTTATTCAAATTATACAACACTTCAGGAATCTGATACGTTCCCCCCATGCCCCCATGAGAATTAACAGCCTCAGTGTTGCTCTAAGAAGTGTTGCATCCCACAGATGTGTTGAAGTGAGAACAAAGGTTGAGAATCTCTGAGCTCCAGAAGAGCTACTCAAAGGAAGTACATATTCATACAACTTAAAATGACCAGTTAACTCCGTCAAAGAAGATTATGCATGCGTTGTTGATACCAGTCATTTTAGTTGTTACTCTTATTTTGCTACCCTTTTGATTTGTGCTATAGTCAAGAAGAGTACAAGTATGCACAGTATATTACTTTGCCAGGCTTGTGAATATTATCTTGATGTGCTGCTGCTTCCAGTAAGGGCAGAAGCATCATTTATGAAAGTTTGCTTTGCTGTAATTGTTGGTGAACCCTTAGCCAGTGATGGTTTCTGAACAATTTACTGCCCACTGAAAGTGTAACACCTACTTTGCTGAGAGTTGTAATTGCAGTCACCCTGATTCTGCTTGAAATTTTGATTGGGAACTCTTAGCTGAGAGGGCAGGCTGGGTTTCTCTCCAGCACTGGGCCTTGTGTTCCAGCCTATGCAGTAGAGCCACTGCTCTGAATAAGAAAATGTCTTTCCTCCTACAGGAAATGTGACACCTGCTCACTATGATGAGCAGCAGAACTTCTTTGCTCAGATAAAAGGCTACAAGCGATGCATTTTATTCCCTCCGGATCAGTTTGAGTGCCTGTACCCATATCCTGTTCATCACCCATGTGACAGACAGAGCCAGGTGAGCTTGTGTGGTGCAAGGAGGGTATAGAACTCCTTTGGGATCCAAGGTTGGCATGTCTTTCCCCTTCCCTGTGGATAAACTCAGGATAATTTCACAGTGTAGCTCACATATTCCAGGCCCTTGTGGTGGTCCCCAGATGTTTATAAGGATAAACAGTTCCGTTGAGTTAATTCTGGAGGGCAGACCCCATCACTAATGCTAGTGGACTCTGGTTACCCAGCTTGAATGTGTGTGTCTCCATTGGATTTAATAATTTGTTCTGTTGTCATGGATGCTGCTACTTTTTGATAAGGAGAAGGGTGAACAGAATTGTCATATGTCATTTACTGTCTTTCCTGGATCTAAAAGAAGTATATGGTTGACTTTATGGCCAACCAGAGAGGTCCTCTTCTTTCTTGAGAAAACTGCCTAGCCACTTCATGTATGAGTTTTTGCTGGTAGGAATATGTGTGTGGGAGAAAGTTTCAGAAGATTTGGTTGAAGGATGCATCCTCATTCCTCATATCTGCAGGCCATGAGTAGGTTTTCTGACCTGCAAGCTGTGATGATTGGCTTCTGACCTCAGGAGCACTGAGGCCCAGGATTCTTTATCAATCTTCAAGCATGGCTTATCTTAGACTGTTCTCTGAGAGGATGTGTGTATGTTTAAGGTGTGTGTGGTATCTTCTGCTGGATATAAATTCTAAACACATTTTTTTTTTCTTAAAGCCATCTTTTTATCACTACCAGACTAGCACATCACAGTTATTAATAAAGATTTGGTGATTGACTGATTTTTTTTTTCTTTCTCTTGAACCTCTCAGGTGGACTTTGACAATCCTGACTACGAGAGGTTCCCCAATTTCCAGAACGTGGTTGGTTATGAAACAGTGGTTGGCCCTGGTGATGTTCTTTACATCCCAATGTACTGGTGAGGAGGGGGCTAGGACTGGGCTTCTTGGGAGCTTTCTTTCCCATTCCCCGGAAAGCTGTATCTGTGTCCCTTCTGAGTTGTGGCAGGATTGGTCTTATGTGATCTACAGAAAGGTTGGCATATCCAGATTTTGAGCATACTGAACGTGGGGGAAATGACAACCCAGTCTCTAGGACAAGATGACAATTCCTCAGGTCCAAAGAGATCCCAGTGGCTTGAGGCTGGAGAGACTGTTCTTGGCTCTTTTGTATTTGGAGACTGAACTGAACACCACTGCCTCTGGTCCCGGGGTGTGTTTGACAGGATGAGTATAAAGATATGTCCTTGTTATTTGCTTTAGCCAGACTTTACCTAGTTTTCCATTCCTGCCTCTAAAAGAATATTGGTGGCAAACAGGAGCATGTTTATTTTCTTGCAGGTGGCATCACATAGAGTCATTACTAAATGGGGGGATTACCATCACTGTGAACTTCTGGTATAAGGTGAATATGGGTATCTTCCCCCTAGATGGGATTGGGGTGAGGTAGGTGTAATAAATGAATTGGGGGCAGGGTGGGGAGGTTGGCTCTCTCTGAAAGTGATTCCCAGGTCTTTGGGGAGATGAAGAGGGATGGGATTGAACTGGGTTTCTTAGAAGGGGTGAAGGTGCTAGAATGGTGGATTACATTGAAGCCTGCTGCTAAAGGCATTTCCTGAGCTGCTGCTTCCTTTGCAGGGGGCCCCCACCCCTAAGAGAATTGAATATCCTCTCAAAGCCCATCAGAAAGTGGCCATAATGAGAAACATTGAGAAGATGCTTGGAGAGGCCTTGGGGAACCCACAAGAGGTATGTGGCTGCCCCAAGGTGGCACTCCTGTGGCCCAGTGGGCAGAGTGACAAGGGCAAGTCAGGATTAGTGTCACATTCTCCATAGCTCTGTTTCAGTATCTGGTGTCCTTTCTCTCCATAGAGGTTATGGGCGTGTTCAGAAAATCTTTGTTTTCTGGTGAGAGCTGGGCTTGACTGGTGGATCAATTATAATCTGTTCCATGCTAGCGGTAATGTTCCCCATGGGGCTTGTGTGCCAGCTGGGGACCCCTGAGGGGATTCTTCTAGAATGGGAAGCGAGCAGTAAAGCATCTCCTCACGCTCTCCCAGCTGTGCCAAGGCTGCTCTAGGTAATGTTGAGACCTGCTTCCCACACAGGTGTGCCAGTGGCCCATTGGGTACCCAGGGGAGGCATTTGTAATGCTCTTGCCTTTTTCCTGTGGATAGCCTCAGCATCCAGAGGACCTGTGGGATTGGGAGGTGGCACCAGCCCCGATTGCATGTGACCGTTTTAGGATACAGAGGCATTTAACCTTCTTAAAGCTCGTTTAAGAAACATGCAAGCACTCTTGGGTTTTGGGGGATTATTGGCTCCTCTGACCTTCTGTCTGTCAGTTTGGTGCTGTTTATAGGGTATTGTGAGAGGGAAGGTAATACAAGATGGACCCGAAGGAGAGGGCCATGTCCTGGAATATTCTCCAGGAAGAGAGTAGGTTAGTGGGTTTACAAGCTTGAACGAAAGCCTTGTCCCTGCCCTTGGCTGGACATAGAATGCCTCCAGACACACCACGTCTGGCTCCAGGGCCAGGGGACAGGCAGTTCTGACTGGCTCCTCATGTCTCTTCACAGGTGGGGCCCTTGTTGAACACAATGATCAAGGGTCGATACAACTAGCCTGCCAGGAGTCGAGGCCTCCTGCCAGGTGACTGCTAGCCCGTCCACACCGCTTCATTGATGAGGACAGGAGACTCCAAGCGCTAGTATTGCACGCTGCACTTAATGGACTGGACTCTTGCCATGGCCCTGGAGGCAGGTGTTTGGGGCAAGGCAGGGTGGTTGGCGCTCCACTCCCATTTGGAGGGACTTCTTGCCCTTGCCTCTGTGCCCCAGCATCTTCCCTCTCTGCCGCCCCCCCCCCCAAGGTCCTGCATTCAGTGTGTGGAGTCCCAGCTTCTGGTTGTCATCATGTCTGTGTGTGTCAGTCTGTCACCCTCGGGATGTGTGGGCGTGTGTGTGTATGCACACGCATGTATGTATCTGTTCCTTGCTTTCTCCTTCTGGGTCAGGATGCCACTGCTGGCTCTCAGTCCTGTCTCCTGCAGCCTCAGTGCCTCAGCCTGAGAGGGAGGAGATGGTCTTGGACACCCACTACTGGGCTGCAGGGCCAGAGTTCTCCTGACCGTCAGGTCAGTCTGCCTCTTTCCAGTTTTCACAGAGTCAGGCTCTAGGCTGGGTGGGAATGGTTACTGGGACTCTTAACGGGGAGAGTGAGAGGGAGGCTTGCCTCTGAGACCCTAGATAGCCTTCCTGTGAGAGAATTAGACAGATTTCCAACTTGGACCCTTAAGCTCAAGCCATACATAGAAAAGAGCCTTGGGACATTAGAGCCAAGGATTATGCATAAGTTCCAAATTGCAGACACATACAGCTTCTCTCTTTCAGCACCAGCTCTTGCTCCCTGTGCTGAGTGCCAAGGGAGTTATCCTAGTAGTGGCTTCTCTAGGTTCTAGGGGTATAAGCCTCTGTGTGGATGTGTGTGTGATATGTGTGTCCGTGTGTGCGCGCACGCATGCGTGTCCTTGTCCACACTGGCCTGCCTCTCTGCTTACTAAGTTTCTCCACTGCTTAACCTTGTCCAGTGGGACATACAGTGTGAGCCCCAGGGAAGTACTGCCTGACCTAGCCTAAAGCTTTTAAACTCAGTTTTAGCCATTGGACATTGGTCAGGTCTCACTGCAACCTCCAGGTCCTGTGACCCTCCCAGCCCAGGCCACGTCCTCTACTCCTGCGGAGTTTCCTGGCCGAGTAAATGAAATGGGGTCAAGCTTAGGCAGCTAACTTACCACCTATCATCCACCTCAGGGCAAGGACAGAAATACAGCCTTGCTTCTTAAAGCCAGCGCCTCTGCCAGACCCCACTATAATGTTCTACAAACACCCTTGAAAGTCAGGGCAACTGATGATGGAGCACAGAAGTGGAATTTCTTTTCCTGTTCATCATTACTTGTGGGAACCCCTCTCAGGGCTGCAGCTTACAGCTGGGCACTGCACAACTCAAAGGGCCATCGATCACATGATTCAGGGGAACTGGGGCCACTGGAATTGGGCAGTATGGTGGCCCGGTGGCCCTGTGTCTCTTCACCTCCACTTCCATCTCCATGCCCCTTCTCTCTGGAAGGAAAGAGGAGTTGGAAAACTCTGGGTTTTTTCCTTTTTTTTTTTTTTTTTTTTTTTGCCAAAGGTTTACTTTCAGCATCTGAGCTGTGGCTCTAACCCCCAAAGCTCAGTTTACAGTTAACAGCGCACTGATGGACTGAGGATGTATGTGTATGCATGTGTGCACCTGTGTGTGTATTTTGGGTAGGGGTGTTTATTTTTAGTACCCCATTCTGGGGTTCTCTTATGCAGCGTGGGTGTGCAAACACGGTACCTTCTCAAGTGTAGTTCTTTCAAATATAGCCAATGCTGGAAAATGTGATTGCAATGATCTGCATCCCTCCATCTCTTGGGAAAGAGGAGCGCAGCAAAGAAAACAAGGCAGACAGAGGATAAACTTGACCACAATCAAACTTTGAAAGATAGCAGATTATTCTTGTTCTCCTTAGCGGGTCTGTTGCGTTCCTAGCTCAGCCCTCAAAGATGTGGGTGATGTGCAGCAGAAAGGTGTGTGTCACTCAGCTGATCCTGGCTGGATGCTGTGCTGACAGAGATCTGACCTAAGGCGACCAAGGGGGAGGGTCCTTTACAGGATTGGTCCTGACCCTTGGGTAATATAATAGTGAACCTGATTATTAGACACTATCTGCCTAGTGCTTTTATCTTTATTCCTCACTATCCTGCAAGGTAGGTATTTTCATTTCACCGCTAAAGAAACGGGCTCAGAGAGGTTTCAGTAACTAGTGGCAATCAAGATATGAACCTCGTGTTAATTGGACTGCAAACCCCCTGCTGCTCCCTTTCCAGCAAACTGTTGATTCTCCTACCTTGCCGCCTCCCTTGTACTACAGGCTGTCCTCAGATCTCACCCCACTGGGCAGTGCCCAAGAAGGTGCACAAGATACAGCTCAGGGTAAAAGCTCTTTTGGGCTCCAGCTTAAGACCTCTTGGGAAAACTACCGGGAAGCCCTGTTCTGAGTGAAGAGTGCTGGAAGGAGTTGTGGGGAAATGGAGTTCTAGATCTCAGTGCATTATTTGTGCTTGAGTAGGTATCATAAGTTTTCCCAGCTTGCTTCTGCACCTAAAGATTGAAGATTCAGTCTAGATGATAACTAAGAACACTGATTCATGTTCTCCTGCCTCCCTTTCCCCCAAGTAAGAGATCTAGCCTCCTCCCTTCCCTTAGGATTAAGTTAGGGCTGTTTAGGCTCAAATTCTACTTGTGGCTAAGAAACATATCTGCTCTGTAGCTTACTCTTATGCTAACCAGCAGCGTGGAGGCAGACACACCAAGGGAAGGTGGGGCTTTGGACCTGAACGGAGGTCAGCCATATTACAGGCTCCCATTTTTACATCAGCAGGTACATGGGAAACTACTCTTTTGTGAAGTCAAATATTTGTTGGGGGGTTGGAGTTTGGGGGAGGGAGGAGGGGCTGTTCTGGGCATCAGTTGAGCAGATGCCTAGGATGCCTGGGGGAGACCAGCTTCCCCTACAAATCAGAGCTCTAAATTACAAGGTTTTTACCAACGTGAACAGTTGGGGGAAGTCGTCTGCTCTCATTTGCGTAATGGTTTCTGTCACTGGTGATTAGACACAGGATGAAGGAAAAGAAATTTGACAATTAGGAATGAGCGATCATTAATCTGAATCTGTTAGGAGACAGAGAGGGGAAGGATCCTTATCAGTGGGCCTGCCCAGTGTGGGGAGACCCTCCCTCTGCCCCCACCAGAGACTCTTGGGCCACATACCCTTCCATTGTTCCCACAAGCGGGCTGAGCCATTGATGTTTCTTAACAAAGCCTAGGTAGTCCCAGTCCCCAGCCTGAGGTGGTTACAGTAATGGGCGGGTCTTAGGCATGAGCCATCAAAGAGAGATGGGTGTCAAATGCAAGTAGTAGGGCAAAGAATAGCAATGGAAAAGATTTGCCGTGTTTGCTCTTTGTGGAAAAATTCTTCTAACACTCCAGATACCCCACCTGTGACAAGTGTCTGTTACATTCCTACACTGCAGCGTGTGGAGAAGACCTGGTTTTTATCCTCTAGGAGCTTCTACTTAGTTGGAGAAGAAACCACACGAAACAGCCAGAGGTTATGAAGCCATGAATCTTGCACCTTTTGAGGACAAGATAAGAGATTGTTGAGAGAGGAGGAAGATCAGTAGAGAGCAAGCTCTGCCCCCAGGCTCCTCTGAGTCCCTGGGCTACCCAGGGAGGGACCCTTCACTCCAGGTCTCCCAGCAATGTTGGTTTTTCCCAGTCGGTGCCGCCGCAGTGTAGTAGCTGCTGAAGAGCGCTGAGGCCCCACCCAGGCATGTGCGCAGGTGATGAGATTACTTCTAGTGGGCTGAGTCCTAAGGTGTGGAGAGTCCCAACTTGGATCTTCGCAGGTCTCCGTGGCACGTCTGCGCATTCTTCCTCTGTCTTCGCACTTTAAGGATTATATTAATTTGCACTAGTTGGTATTTGTTCCTCAGTTTTGTGACTTGTGTGTGGTGGGTTCTTTAGACACGGACGGTTCTTTGTCTCCTCTCAGAATGTGGACTTCCCACAGACAGGACTGTGTCTCTCCCTTGGTAAACTCCCTGCCTCTGAGGCTTCTGCCTTCTTAGATTGGCTGCAGAGTTTAGTAGGACAATGGGGAATAGCCCTCAGTGACTAGTTTTACCCAAACAGGGTGGATGCTGGACATGGCTCTTGGGGTTCCAGAAGCCCTGGCCTCTCAGCCCTGTTCTTGTCGTCCTCTGGAACCTTCAGTGCTCATCCTCCAGTCCCTGCCGACTTCTCTGGTGTCCTCTCAAGCTTCCTGCATTGAAAAGATACTCCAGCTTCCCTTTTCAGGGCTCCCCCAGTTTCTCCCTCTCCCACTCAGCTTTCCTCTCTCCAATCTCTCCCTCAGCCAAGGGCCTTTTTCCCAAATGGTTGCCCTTTCTTCAGCAGCCCCAGGCTGCAAGTGTTTGGATAGACTTTCTCTAGGATCTCTCCCCCTGGGCTCAGCCCTGAGCATCTTTGAGTTATCTTCCATTTTCGACCTGCGGTTAGTCCATTTGTTCTGTATCTGCTCTGCTCTTTTAGTATTCCTTTGTTAATTCTGTGTGGCCTGTTTAGCTTTTCTAACTCTGGTGACCCTTCTGCAAGTCTTCAGCCATCTCTGTTTAATCCTCACAGGTCTTGGGGTCCTCAGTGGAGCCAGGCTGAGCACTTTTGGCATGTTTCTAGGTGACAGGGCCTTAGACCCTGGCATCATTGAGGCCCAGGGACCAGTGGTCCGTGGGGCCTCCAGAGGTGGGTGAGGGGAAGGTACCTAAAGTCTTGGACAGTGGAGAGCCAGTGAGGCGAGATTGACTAGGAGAATCCCGGGAGTGGGGCCAGGCCTGGCAAGCCACGATAAAAGAAACAATTTTGTGTTTCCGTCTAAATACGTCTGTGTGCCTTATGGTCCAGTAAGCAGTTCAGGGATGGTGGGTATCTTGTGAATATCTCCTGGTTTCTCTCAGGTGTCTTTGGCAATGCTCTAGTCACCAAGTTTGGCTGATGTCTGCACTCCAGCATTTGCTGGAAGGGAAACAGCATATTGGGTAGTTTTATGTAAGGATCAGAGGTCTTAGATGAGAAAAGCTGTGGAAGCTGGGGTAACAGGCGAGAGGGACTCGTTGGTCAGCTTACCCGGGCTGTCTTTGCTCCTCCAAGTGTTTAAGTACAAAAGCTGATTAAAGAAGTGAAAAAATGAGGCCTTGCCTTCTTCCCCACCTGAAGTCTGGGTTCCAGGTAGTATTTGGGGGAAGAAGTATATGTCCTTTAACTTCCATTGAGAAACAGTCTAGCATAGTGTTTTGCAGCATGGATTTTGGAGTCAGATGTCTTTGGTTCAGATTTGTAGCTTTGCCACTTACCAGCTGGTTTGACCTTGTTGATTGACTTCTCCTTTCTGAGCCTCAGTGTTCTCAATTCTAATACGTATTGGGTGAGGGGTAGTGTTGAAAATATCTACCTCAGGGTTGTTGGATTAACTGAAACAATGTAAAACTTTAGCACAGTGCCTGGCAAGCACTTAATAAATGGTTGTGGTGGAGGTGGTTACATTTATTATGTGACTTACTCAGAAACTTGATTTCTGTGATTTTTGAGATTTCCAGTGATTTCTTTTCTCTCAAGAAAACCGTAGGTAAAAACAAGGAAAATGCCCTGGAGACACCCATACTGAGTTGGGGGCAGACAAAAAGGCCTTGGGTACCTAAACCTGTCCTAGAGGGAGGGAAACAGGAAATTGATGCCTTCTGCCTGGTCAACCAGACTTTACCACTCTCCATGCCAGCCCAGGGTGAGGGTGAGAAACCATCAGGTGTGAGCTTTCCTTACACCATTTGAGGGGTGAGGGCAGCTGAATGGGTTCCCATTACCCCTGGAGAAGCTATGCCAACTTCACGTCATGAGACACCAAGGCCGTCAAGTCGGGCCCCATTCATTCAATTTTATTCCGTGACCTTCAGCATATTTAAGTTATATGTGTGTTAAGAGGTTCTGGGGCAAAAGGGTAGTGAGATACTGAGAAGAGAATCCAGAAAAATATCAGACTGGAATCTTCATAGCTACCATTTGCAGAGTACCCTGGAGCATTTCTGTTCTGGACCCATGTGCTCTCAGTTTGATGGGGACACCAAGCAGGCTGTTAGCATTACGAATGCTCAGCGGAGAAGCTGGGTGTTCACGGTAGGCTTCCTCCAGGAAGTAACAGTCTAAGTTGATAGCTGGTAGATAACCAGGGGCTGGGGAGTAGTGAAGAGCATACATTTCTCCTCTGGCTTCTTTCCCAGTTCCCAAACACTCTGCTCCTCTGTGTTTAAGGGTTCTGTTAATAACTCCTAGGAAGGAACCAGGTGATGGACCCCAAAAGAAGAAAACCCTTTGGTTAGCCATAGAAATCTTTGGAAATCATTTTGGTTGCTGGCCCAGGTTTGTCCTGGTGTGCAGATGGATTGTTCCTTTGTAGCCTTTCCACTGTCCTCTTTCTCAGAAGTCTGTCTGCATTCTGGCCTCTGGAGCCACTCTGCCACCCTCGTTGGAAGAGATTCTGGGTACAGTTACTCAGACATCAGCCTGATAAATATTCTGGCTGCCTGGAATTCTCAGCCTCTTCCACACTGAGATCCTTCTGATCTCAGGTCTGCCCCCACCTCCAGACACTCCCCTCCTCCCCACTATGAGCTGAGCCAAGCCTCTCTGCCGTGCCCCTCTGTAGCCACACACATTCTCTTGCCCCTGACCTTGGTCCCCAGCCTCATGGGGGAAGAAGACCCCTCTCTAGCTTGTGCCAAGACATTTCTGTACTATAGGCCAGCCTGTAGTCACCTTGTAGTCACCTCATTGCTTCTAGATTTCTTTGGCTCTGGGCCTTGGAAGCCTTCTCCTTGGCCCCAGAAAATGTTGCTGTGTTATATTCAGTTTGCTTAAAACCTACTCGGTCATTGAGGTCAGTTCTGCCCTTAAGGGAAGCTCTGCTCCTTAACCCAAAATCTAAGCTATATTTAGGCTAGGTTTTTATTATCTTTCCAGTATGTAGCATATAGTGCAACATAGGGTAGTGGTTGAGAATGAGGGTTTTGCATACCTGGCTTTGAATCCTAGATCTGTCATTCTGTATGACCT